ATGTGGTACATCACTTCTGTAGATCAAACCGCAGCGACAGTCCGCCACAACACATGCCTGTATGACATGCAGTACGTGTAGTACTGCTTACAGTATGAGGGTCAACACATGGCTGTACGATGTGCAGTGGTACTGCTTACTACAATGTCATGAAGTAGACCGCTTACAGTATGATGGTTAACACATGGTTTTATGACTGTAGTGTTACTGCTTACTACATGATGGTCAACACATGGCTATATGATATGCAGCAGCACTTTTTACTGTCATCTTGCCGTGAAAAGAAACACCACATTGGGAAATACAAACCAGTCGTCCCCACCCGCTCAGTCCTTAGTAGTAGACTCTCAGTCCTTAGTAGTAGACTGTCGAGTCCTTACCGCACAGTAGTCTTGGATCATCTTGAGAAGACCGGCATTGCCACTCTTGCGTGCCAGTGCTAGTAATGTCAGCGCTTGTTGCGATGACTTCTACAGAACGACACACACACGCACACACACACACACACACACACAAGCACGCACACAACAACAGCACACACACATACCGGCTCGTCATACTGACAGGATTCAGGATGTTCCACAGCAAGGAGTCATACGTTGCACTCCTGTGACTGATCGCGTTGTTCGGTTATCAGGTTTACTTCGAAAGCTGGCATTCAGGTACTGAAAAATTTCGGTAGAGATTTATTTGCGGTAACTTCGGAAAAGGTAATTTAAACTACTACTTTTTACCTCAAATAAAACGCGACCTAAACTTCAACCATGCCATGCTACACAGTGTGCAGAATGCATGTTTAGATCTGGAAAACCGGTTTACCGAAATTGTCGTGCTACTGAACCGTTGATTTTGGGAATACCGACAATATAACACCAGCGAAAATTCTCAGTTTTACAGTAATTGACATTTACCTCTACTCTCTACTCTACTCTCAATCTTTGTAAACGGATTTTCGAAGCCCATACAGGGTCAAGTTGCCTCAAGAGCACTCATGAATCAAGTCACAGCTTACCAGAGGTGAACTAACAACCAGTATTGGGGTTAAGCCAGTAGCATTGTGCACACCTAGGAGAACCATGTAGACACTTTTAAACCACTACAGGTCAGACCTCGCTATAACGTAATCTCTGGGGGATGGGAGAAATTATGTTATAGCGAGGTTTATGTTATAGTGAGTTGGGCACACCAATATGCAATATGTATGTCAAAATGACACTCTTCACTTACTGAATACAACTGTACTGTTTTACATACAAGTATGATGATGACTAGCAAAGATGTGCACATGTGTACAGGCTTGTCAGCAAAGGGGCGACAAGAGCCATTGTAGTGCGTGTACTTGTACATGTGAGTCGTGATGTGACAAGATTAGAGCCTATAAAAAGTAATGGGAGTAGTAAAATACCGGTATTTTACTACTCCCTGCTTCCGAGGTGGACGCCTCAGTCTCGAATTCGTTGCGAGAAGGCATGCATGCCGTGTACATAGTCATTTTTATACGAGTTTTTACGTTATGCTGAGGTCTCCGTGCGCCCGGGACCCAGCAAACAGTGCGTTATAGCGAACATTACGCTATAGCGGATTATGTTATAGCGAGGAAATTTTGTACAGAAGTGATGCGGTTTCGGCAGGGACATTCACATTTGTACGTTATAGTGAGGTTTATGTTACAGCGGGGGTCGTTATAGCGAGGTCTGACCTGTACTCGTATTCCATGGTGCTGGCCGGTTATTTCCCACCAGATCTGCAGTACAAAGCGCCTGCAGCCCAGTGCTACATGTTCCAGTCGGTTAGTTCCCACCAGATCTGCAGCACAAGCGCCTGCAGCCCAGTGCTACAATGTAGCACTGGGCTGCAGTCATGTTGCAGTCGGTGATACATGTAGCACTGGGCTGCAGTCATGTTCCAGTCGGTGATACACCTAACAGTAGTGTCCGGTGTAGCACTCTGGAAGAATCCCCATCCATTGCATTCGCGTAATAAATTCCACAAACACACAGGGTTCCATTCAGTGGTCCACTCTATCGGGGTTCCATTCAGTGATCCACCATATCAGGGTTCCATTCAGTGGTCCACTATATCAGGGTTCCATTCAGGGGTTCACTGTATCGGGGTTCCAATTAAGGGTTCACTGTATCAGGATCCCAATCAGTAGTGGTTCACTGTCTGTATCAGGGTTCCAAAAAGGGGTTCGCTGGGTCCACTTGGGCTTCCATTGCAAACGATCGCATGTGTTTTTCACAAGTATCATTACCAGTACCCCAAAAATCCACCAGACCTGGAATGTATAAGAGAACGCACACACACACATACATGCACACACGCCCACACACATCACCATCACTGACACACGGCTCATGAACCAAAAAGAAGCCGATTCCCAGCAGCTCATTTCAAGTGCTGTAGCCATCAGGACGGTAACCAGTGTACAAGACTGGTGGCCAATAACCTGAGTCACAACACACGTACATGTACATCGTCATGTTGCTAAACGTGTCGTCAAGAGGCACATGTATTGCACAATATCAAACTGAACTGAACACTGCACTGAAGGACGCAGTGACCAGATTCATTACGCTTCACATTTCCACCATAAACACACAGTGATGAGTGGTATGCATGCATACGCACACATGCATGCACGCCAGCTCGCATTCGCGCATACACACACACACACGTACACGTACACACACACACACACACAAACACACAAACACACAGACACACATGTACACACACACCACACACACACACACACACACACACACACACACACACACACACACACACACACACACACACACACACACACACACACACACAAACACACAAACACACATGTACACACACACACACACACCACACACACACACACACACACACACACACACACACACACACACACACACACACACACACACACACACACATACACACACACACACACACAAACAATATGCACTCACCGTCGGACTGGTAGGCTTGGTGGGATCCATGTGCAGAGTTTCAGTCAACACGTGAACACACTCCGTTTGTTTCAATGTCACAGCTAAGTGTAAACACGTCAAGCCCGTCTAAACACAACACAAAACATAGACAAGCAAAACGACATCTAAATCAGCAAATCAGCCAGACAACTTACGGTGAGCAGAGGAACCCATAGTAAAGAACCACGGAGTACACTTCAAAATAATTAAAATACGAAGAACCTTACTGAGTTTAGCTTTTCCATGGGATACTTAGCATCCGACAAGGCCTGCAGTACTCCAGCATACCCACGAGACACAGCTGTGTGTAGTGCAAATGAACCCTGCACACATACACACACCACCAGACACAGCAGCAGCCACAGCAAGAGCAACAGCAACAGCCACAGCAGCAGCAGTGGCAGCAACAGCCGCAGCAAGAGATAGAGAGAGAGAGAGAGAGAGAGAGAGAGAGAGAGAGAGAGAGAGAGAGAGAGAGAGAGAGAGAGAGAGAGAGAGAGAGAGATAGAGAGAGAGAGATAGAGAGATAGAGAGATAGAGAGAGAGAGAGAGAGAGAGAGAGAGAGAGAGAGAGAGAGAGAGAGAGAGAGAGAGAGAGAGAGAGAGAGAGAGAGAGAGAGATAGATAGATAGAGAGAGAGAGAGAGAGAGAGAGAGAGAGAGAGAGAGAGAGAGAGACAGAGACAGAGAGAGACAGAGAGACAGAGAGAAAGGTAATACGTCAGACTCGGCTGCGGCAGGCTAAGAAGTACTCAGTGATTACCGCAGCACACATCCATACTTGACTTGCCACCATGAGAAACAAAACCACCTCAGAATAAGACTGGGATGCACATACTACGAAAGATATTCACAGAAAACTCCTGTGCTCCACGGCACAGGTAGAGTGGCACACAGCACTGGGGTATGCCATTCTGACACTGAACGTGAGCATTGTAGCTGCCATCGGTCTCCACTCCGTCTTGTCAAACGTGCAGTGCAGGCAGACTGCTGAGCAACTATCAATATCAAATTCAATACTCAAGTGAAGGTCCCTGGTTCGAATCCCGGTGGTGACAGTCAATTTTTTCTTCAGACTTTTCCTTTTCCGTTCCCCCAACTATTGAACAACTATCAATACCACAGTGAATTATCATAGCAATGCTATTGGCTTACTCAACACAGTACCGCGGACACTGCGGACACTGCAGATACTTCAGGTACTCTACATGTACCTACCTTCCACATAATGTCTGGCACTTCTTGAGCAAGTGCAGCCACAGCGGGTGTACGGTTGTCAAACACTGCGTCGTGGAGCGCCGTTCTACCAGACTGAGACACAAACACACGCATGCATATACTTGTACTGTCTTGCTCACTGCCAAAATCGGTCACGTGGGTCTCCCCGGGAGAGCGGAGAGAGACTCAAAAAGGAATCTTGGAAAGATGACTCAATTGGCTACTGAACCGCCCAAAGGCCAACACCCCTGAAATCCCCAAAACTCTGGGTAGACTTGAAAATGATCCCACTTACGGGCTCACCACACCTCAGTAAGTGGGTGAAGCCAAGGTGCAGAAAAAAGGATTGACGGCATCAGGGTATCCGTCCCGGGATCCAACTGCAGTTACCCCTGCCCCCAGTGAAGGTAATACTTGGTACTAGTGTAGGTTGCTAAATCAGAGTGGATCTGATCTAAGCTTCACTAGCACCATGATTACACAAGAGTTAATCTAGCCAGAAGCAGTCCATGGTTAACAGGTATGTATGTGAACCCTGAAACCAACACAGGTGGCAGGTACAACATTACACCTTCAAGCAGCCGAGCCAGTTGGCAACAGACCCAACACTGCCCGGCACAAGTGTACCCACCAACCGAACTAGCACACATGCACATACACATGCACACACACGCATGCACACACATGCACACATAGTAAAATTGTCAAGAGTACACAATCAAGAGTGTAAAGCTCGTCTGGACTCATTTGTTTTATTGCATCATTCTCGGTGAAAGTCTGATCAAGTGTGTAGGAATTCCGCGCTTGTCTTATACATGTCACGTGGTATTAGTTCATGGACGTAAAGATCTACGTGTACCGTCCGTTGTTCTGCTTTGATTACCATAACTACAATGTACGCGTTCTTTGCATTATTGGTCTCCGACTATGCATGGTGGCATCAGTGAGCCAAAAGGCCGCAAAAGACTGATGTGATTAAAAAAAGGTTCGCCCCGGGCCAAGGAATCGCCAAGTTGCACGGTCATGGCCATGCAATCTTGGACTTCATCGACAGTCTCTACTCTCTACACTACAATGAACTTCTCGTCGCAGTGAACACATTCCACATGGTCATGTCACGTTGAAACACGACCTCCAGTTGGACTGATTCGCAACAGGAGGCAGCCATCGACTGTTTGACGTGCGACTTCAAAAATAATACTTTAATATATAAGTAAGCAGTCCAGCAGCGATATTCAATGCAGACTGCAGCAGCAAGTGCCGATATGGGTGGCGATGGGTTGGGTGTGCGTGTAGTGACCACATGCGGTTACCATGGTTACCTTGTTCAAAGCAGCGCGGTCCGTCTGTCGTGACTTCAACAGTAGGTCGATGCAGGCAACATGGTTGAACTGTGCGGCCACGTGCAGTGGTGTCTCGTCCTACATACAATGTAGAGACAACAACAACAGACAATTACAATGGGATTCATGCACCATTTTTCCGCCATTAGGCTATGCCGGGACAAGTCTACTACCACCGCACAGAGTGTGATCCCAGCTCTGCATAAAAGGTCATGAACTGTGTAGTATGGTTATACACTCGAACGTCTCTGATCCGGACGCCTTGGGACCGGACACTGCCCGTATCTCAGACTTAAACGTATTTCAGGACAGCTCATCCACCATCTACCATAGTTTTTGAAGAAGTTTACTTGGCACGTATCGCACGTGTTATTAAAGGATAAAATCTATTGAAGAAACTGTGTGGATTACACAGGCTGGCAGTGAAAAATAAGCACTTGCACTTTGGAAAAAAGTTCATAACACAACCCCCAAAATCGAAGCATTTTACCATAGGAACTTAAGCTGAAGGTGCCCAGTAGAGAGACGTGCACGTACCTGAGGCGTCCGGATAAGAGACGTTTGAGTGTACCACAAAATTTACTAGAGCTGGTCGTATTGGCCAGATATTAGACAACTTGCCCGACAAAAAAAGATGCATACCTCCCATTCTACCACCTACCACCTGAACAAGTCTATCCAGAGATTCTTACACAAACACATCATAATTATTTGGAAGTAGAGGGGAATGGAAAAGGAAAAGTTTGAAGAAAAATTGACTGTCACCACCAGGAATCGCTTGGGGCCAGCGATGCCCTGACCACTGAGCTATGGTGTAGCTGTATTCCCAGCAGAGACGGTTCAACATTTTCTTCAGACTTCGAAACTCACACTTCCATTAATGTGTATACTATGATCACAGCTCCCAGGCAAAGACCAAAATAGCATGGTCATTGGTGGGTGGGAGCAATAATTCACATACAGTGCTGAGCAAGCAAGCTTACCAAACGAGTGCGAAGGTTGACGTCGACATGCGGCTGCTTGAGCAGGAATTCCACCACCCTGGCAAAGTTGTACCGGCACGCAATGTGCAGTGGACCGCCTTGACTCTACACAGGAAAAGACAGCCAGCGACAACAAGGCGATACAGGTGTGAGAGGGAAGTGGATGAGCAGGACCGACGGAAGCAGTCTTTGATTGGTCCAGCCATACCCTAGTCAAGTTTCATACAGTTTGTGTATGATATGGAGGGTATATACATGACCTCCTCAACAGTAACACACATGTCGGCGGCCTAAAGGTTGGTTCAGCCATGGCCTGACCAAGCGGACCGGTTCCGCCGGGCCTGATGAGTACTAGTACACATGATGTTATCACTCTTACAGTCTTACAGTCTTACCTCGTTCACCCTGCAGTTGACCAAGTACTGTCCAGTGCGTAGTCGTGGATAGCTAGCGATACCATCCTGGATCAGCTCCAGGCGATTGCGAAGCACCCAGTCAATGAACTGACCGACCTGAGTGGAGAGAACACACATAATCATGTACATACGCACATACACACACACATGCACAGATACACACACACACACACACACACAATCTGGTTCAATGTGGAGCTCTTCCACAAATGATCTAGGAAACTACACATACATACAAGCACAAGCAGCAACACTAGAGCCACGCAGTGCAGTCAGGGAGAGTTCAGCAACAGCAACCATCAAAAAGAAGGCATAAAGCAACAGCATGGTAATTTACAACTCCCTGGTCTTCAGTACTCAAATCACTGGCAAGCAATGCTTGCAGTGCATAGTCCGGCACAATGGCACCCGGGATAATTTAGTGGCTGAAAAGGCAAAGAAATAACTAGTGTTGAGCAAGCACATGTCACAGTGCTTTGAGCTGAGAGATATACAAGGCCAGTCTAGCTGAACTGGAAAGCAGTGCGGCTGAAAAGGTACTTCCCCAGCGAATACCCGCATGGATCAAATCATCCCCATGTTGACAGGGCTGAAAAGATAAGTTAGTTAGATAATTAAGAGCGCCATCAGATACCACTTAGCACATGCCATGATTATTATGATGAGTTGCCTATTGTACTTGAAGAGAGAAGGAGAGATGAAGAGAGCCGCTTCTCTGTGACACAGGACCAGGCGTGGACAAGAAGTTTAAGAGCTAGTGAAATGGATGCCACTGTATGATAAGGGGACATGCTGTAGTAGTGTACTTGCACTTGAAGTAAGGCAGGCACACACTGTGGACATTCATATTCATATGAGTTCTTTCTAATGTCCAGACACAACTGCACAACGGTACATTGAAGTGCAGGATCATGAAATCCTTGCCTTGGAAGGGCATCAAGAGTATACACTGACACACCACACCACAGACACACCACACCACAGACACACCACACCACAGACACACCACACCACAGACACACCACACCACAGACACAGTGCTGCTAACTGCCCAATCTAAGGACTAGACTGCAAGTACAGCAGAGCTTCTTCCCCCAAACTAGGGTGCCTCAGACTCGACCGGGACTCCAAACTACACTGCATCCATATTGGATACTGTACTAGTATTTGCTGGCTGTTCCAGTGTTCCATCATGGCAATATTTCCTTCTCAACAACTATCTACAGATAATCATCATTTCATGGGTTGCTCTGGTTGCTTGTACTTCACTGGACGAGAAAGCTGGTTGTTGCAATCTTCGAGTCCTAATGCTTGTGGCAGAGAGGTTGACGTTTGAAGTTTTTCTCGCGTTAGACCTACAGTCCATTCGTAAAAAAGAAAGAAAAGATGAGCGCTGTCTCTGGCGAGCTCCCGTATTTGGTGATTTACGGTGATTTTATCGTACACAGTGCAGTGTCGCGAAATTTGAAACCTGGAAAAGGTTCCAAAATACGTACCTCAACTGGGGTTCGAACTGCACAGTGCACTGTTGCAAGTGGAGTGAAACGGCCTGGTATTTCATGGTTTTTCCCAATTCAGTGCTTTTGGGGCACAACCTGGCTGAAATCCTATTCTTGCTATGGCTTGCTTTTCAGAGATATAGACTTCAGAAACATAATTGGAAGAGCATTCCATGGGGATTGCAAGAAAAAATTGTGAAAACTCAAAATTTGACCCATTTATGGCCAAAAGCTAGGACATCATCTTTTCCTGAGTGGACTGCAAACCTTTGTTTTTTATTCATTTCTGTTTCTTTCATTCTCGAACGCAAGTGAACTAAAACTACCCAACTGCCATTCTCTCTTCTTTCTGATTATTTTCTCAACAAATCTCCTTCCCTGTAACACAAAAACACATTCGCTGCCTTGTCATTGAGCATCTGTGCTCGTTTGGATTGGAGAATTCAAATAAAATATACAAACAAACAAATAAACATGTTGGTCTGCGTGATGCGTCCAGCTAGCAGCGTCATCGGTTAGCACCGACTCAGTGTCGTGCTGCGAAATGTCCCAACACTGTCTCACTACTCGCTGTCAGGTGTGTGTGCGCATGTGTGTGTATGTGCATGTGTGTGTATGCGCATGTGTGTGTATGTGCATGTGTGTGTATGTATGTATGTGTGTGTGTATGTATACGCGTGTGTGTGTGCGCATGTGTACGTGTGTATATGTGGGTGGGTGTGCGCGCATGTGTGTGTATGTGTGTGCGCACGTGTGTGTGTGTGTGTGTGTGTGTGTGTGTGTGTGTGTGTGTGTGTGTGTGTGTGTGTACGTGTGTACGTGTGTACTAATATGTGCACATCTGCCTGTTCAAGATCTGGTGTAGATTGGTGTAGCGTGGTGCAGAACACTGCTTCTTCTACAATTAGATTTGGCTTGCCATCTTAGTTCGTAAATCACTAAATTATTTGATTCCTGGTGCATTTGTCCATGCATCCTAAGCAGAGATCCTCTTCCATGACCGCCTGATCTACAGTACTTGGTGGAACACATTCACTGGATCCTGACATCAGAAGCAATTTGCAGTGCAATATACGAACGAGGCATTGCACGTCACTGGCCAACACTGTTGTGCATGTACTGGTGCTTGACTCAATGTGTCAGAAAGAAAACAAAGAATTACAAGCGGGCACATACATTGTACACCAGCCTGTTTCATACAGCTACGAAGTACATGTACCAGTTACTAGCACCACCTCTGTTTTGTCACTTCAAGAACTACATGCGCGTGCGCATGTGTGTGTGTGTGTGTGTGTGTGTGTGTGTGTGTGTGTGTGTGTGTGTTTGTGTGTGTGCACGCGCCTGTGTGCACGTGTGTTTTCCGATTCGCAGTGCAGGTCCCGTCCGTATTGTGTTGCATATTGTCCACACGGTCATGACCGTTTTGAGATGCAACTGAACAGATATATACCGGAGTCACACTGAGGTACTAGCATGGTCGGCGTCTGGCTGGTGATCGTGAAGTTCATCTGGCACGCAAGAGCTGTAAGTAACAGAGTTACAATTCGCAAACTGCATTGCAGCATAATATTATGCCTCTCGATCGTCTGGTTTATTTAGGGGCAGGTGGTGTCGTCGATGGGCGTGTGCCGAGGCATAGGAATGGTATCTGCCAGTCGGTATTGTTATGAGCAAGGCAAGCGATTGGGATTGATAGCTGGCAAAGCTTGTCAAAGTGACCAGTTTCATCTTCTCGCCGGTTGCACTAAACTGGCGTAGAACATCCAGTAACTTAGCAGCAAACTGGGTAAAGATGGTTCTGACTGCGAACGTGTCATTTCCGGTTTCAAAGGTGTCAGTTCTATTTGGAAGTCCTCTGGAGCTCATAGTCCGCAACAAAATCCTGTCATTGAGGCTGAAATGTCGAGTATACAAGGCTGTTGTCCTGCCCGCTCTTCTGTATGTAGCAAAGGCTTGGACCACGAAGCACCCATTTTCGTTTTGCCGAACAAATTCCACCACGAGTGTATGCGGTGTACCCACGACTAAACCATGGCTCAGCAGTAAGAAGAGTGCGGCTCGATATCATCAGACCTTGCTAAGACCCTGGAAGTCAACACCACCCCTGCACTCTATCAACAGCGTTCGCAATGGCTTGGACATCGGGCCTTCATCAAGGGCAGCCGCCTCCTGAAGTTTTGTCCGTCGGGGAGTTTCCAGGCCCATACTCTTGTTAGAATCTAGACAACAGTTGGAGAGAGGAGGGATGCTAGGACATGGGTGCATGTGGCATCGGACCAGATCTTTGGATGCACGAACCATCACGTCAAGTCTGCAACCAGCGCGTGCGCATGCGTGTTTGTGTCCATGTGAGTGCATGTGTATGTGTGTCTGTGCGCGTGTGTGTGTGTGTGGGGGGGGGGGGATGTTTCTTCAACATTAATTTTTTAGTTACTGATACATGTCCATAAAATAACTACCAAAACTATGATCCCATGGTTACAATAATTATGGTGTAAAGCAATGTGAAGCTTCACATACCTTTTGCTCGTCAGTACTATTTTCCTGGAATGCTGGCATGATGTACCGCAGTCCCTTATGCACCAGTCACGGAGGTGATGGCTAAGGTCAGGTGTCATTCATTGTTTTTCAAAATCAATAATACTAATGCGGGTACAACTCAAAGGGAACTACGCACTTTCTTCCAGTACAGATAGGGTGGCATATCAAACCAGCGGGGGCGCTGGGTTTAGCCTTGGGCTACAAGCAAAATAACAAAAACTAATGATTGAAGAAGGCCCGGTAACTACAGGAAAACACACAAAAGGAAACCGAAGCCCAAAATGAGCTCGGAGCAGGTTTCCAACTAATTACAGTACTTGGTAGACTCTCCCAGTACTAGTCTTGTAGTTGTACGTCTGCATGCCATGCATGCAGTGCACCAGTACTACTACAAACAGTTTGTACAGTACACATGGTACACGCGTGCATGCACTGATCTACGTACAAAACTCGAAAGTCTGCTCGATCTCCCGATATCCATGCATGCACCGCGTACCGGCCGGCTAGAAAATGAAGAGTTCGAAGAGTGCACGTGGTGCACAGCCAAAACCAGTGCTGCATTCAAAATCGATGTGTCCTTTGGTCTGTATCCAGTGATATCGATAGGCCTACAAAAGGCTACATCATGTACCGGTAGATCTACGGTGCGTAGATCTACATGTAGATCCACATCGATGCATCATGCCAACATCACACAAACTCCCTGTCGACGCGACGTCGTACACCATGGTACACGGTACAGTACAAATATCACGTGCGCATGCAGCACCGCCTCAGAGACTCCAGATCCGAGGTCGAGAGGCTGAGCATCCGATAAATCCTGTCATTTCAAAAACTGAAAAACTCACGGTCTGAAAATGATGCATGCACTGTACTAGTACTGAGCATAGAAAAGCCAGTTCAGTTGTTGCTGTTTTGTAGTGCCACGACTCACGAGTGCACGTGTCGCCGCCGATCGAGCACTGCAAAGGCCATGAAGACGGCGAAGACCTACATTACAGTACATAACTTCGGGGAAATGCACTCTTGCCCTTGCAGCGTCACGGTTGTAGCCGCAAGTTTTATTTTCTTGTCTCACTTGGAGACAAACCGTCGTCCCTGGACCCTGGCCTAGGGTTTTGACTTGTCTGTACTCTTGGTTGTACTACTAGTTCTAGTTTAGTAGCTGCATCAGGAGTCGGGGGTTATGGACTCTCCTTGCATGTCTTGTAACCAACGAACTCTTGATACCATGTGTACAAGTGCATTCAAAAGGTGAGAAGTTCAGGACAGAAGTCTTGCCGAAAACCAAAGGTCGAAAGGTAGATCTACAAGAGTAGTAATTACTTCCCATTCTCAAGCAATTTCGACTGACTGTTTGTTGTCGTTCGTACCGGTATTATTGATTGTAATGATGATGATGATGCCTTGATGATAATGATGATGATGATGATGGGTATTGTGTGATCTGATGTCGAGTGATGATAGTCAACAGCGGAACTCAGAACTGCGAAATGTCAGGTTCACAAGCGAGCAACACGATCTCCCCAGCCTCGTGACGCCAAGGAGACTTTGCGTTCAAGACACGCATGCGTAATCTCTGTTGGTCCAGTCAGCTGTCGTCTTGCTGGCTGTGTAGTGCGAATCCAAGATCTTCGTATGGTTGTCGAAACTCTCCTAGCTCTCAGCCTTCGTCTTTCTCTTTCTCAGTTGTAGTTAGTTTTAGTGCTGGCGCCGGAATAGAATATTAACCTTCTTTACCGCGGCCACGAAATCAGACATGTCTGCCGCTATGCAGCCCGAAGATAGAGAAGAGGAGAAAGCCTGCGTCCTGTAAGTTTTCATCATTACTTCTCTTGGGATTCCGAAATATGGGTGGGTGAGTTGGCTTGTGCGTGCGTCCGTCCTTTCATATAAACTGACTTAGGTACGTCGGCAACTTAGACCGAAGAGCAAATGAGGAGACTGTGAAGGAGATATTCAATGTTGTTGGTACGATCCGTAGATGCAATCTCATATCCGAGGTAAGATGTGTATCGCTCGAGGCTGTTGAGTCGTGTTTATAACTTACAAGTGGTTTCAATCATTCCGTGTTCGTGTCGCTTTTATTCAATTAATTGCACAGCACCAAGGAACTGATCCTTATTGTTTCGTTGAGTTCGACAATCATGAGACAGCTCTAGATGCCTTGACCAAGATGAATGGCAAGAAATTGTTCTCTAAGGTAAGGTCAAGTCGTACTCGGACTCCGTTTTTCCGACTTGTAATTATTTGAACCGGCGCCTGGATGTTCAGATTGGGTGGCGTCCCGAGTTCTCTCTTCGATGTCCATGCACTCGTGTCATCTAGCTTTATTGCCAACTGACTGTGTTGTTTCTTGTTTACCGAATTGGCTCGCTGTCTCAACATCCCACTATTATTGGTCTCTGTCCGGTTTGTGTACTGTTCGTATGGATTTTGTACTGATCGCCGTTTTGGGTGTTTTGGTGTGCACTTTGGTACGACGTTTTCGTGTGGCTTGCAGTGTATTCGCGTCAGCTGGGCTACTACTCAAGGGGCAGCTAAGAAGGACACTTCAGGTAAACAGCTGTGCGATTCAAGTCCTTATTGCCGGCTAATGGTAGCAGTTGATTTCCACACACTCGGTCCGCCTCCGGAACTTTGGATCGCTTCAATGGGTTTGCTTGAGTAGCATTTGCGAGAGGGTACATGTTATCAGTTCTGCCCCTATCGTCGATCGAATGCGACAGCTTATTATTGGTTATGTCGAGGATAACAACATAACAAGAGAAAGCAGATGTTCGAGCCCAAGCCAAGGACGTGCCGAGCATCGAGCAAGTCACTCGACAGACCAAATAAAAAATAGCTTCAGTCATCAAGGTGTAACGTTACATAGAGTGCAGTGGGGCGCTTTCACCCTGTTGCCCGTTGATCCGAAACCGCTAGTCTAAAGTAAACTGCCAAGCTAAGCTCCTGCCTGCCGCGTTTAGTGGGGTTTCCCCTGCTCGTACTTGTAGTCCTTTTGAGTTTTGGCAGGTCATGTCTATTGGAGTGGCACGGCTGTGCCCGCAGCTTCTTATGACCTATGGCCAGCATTGGTGATTGACATTGGTGTGGTTTAGAAATCTGGGCGTTGGAGCGGTTGGGCAGTGTGTGTAGCACACAGTCTGTACTTTTTGGTTGCTTGTCTCATGTGTTATCATGAGATGGGTCGCTGTGTGTTTGCATGTGCGTCTGGTAACTGGGGTGGGTTTGCCAGGAACTACAACGGTTCCGCTACAGTTACTTTGATGTGAGGTGTCCAGCAGATGTCAAAGCCTGCTATGGTTGGATGTAGCGTCTTCTAAAGCATTATACTATGAACGTGTGTTTGTGTCCGTGTGATATGAAGCCAGTGACAGTGAATATGCGGATGTAGTAACAAAAGAGCCTCCTGTGTCGAAGCGCTTTTTTACTATGAAGACCGTCTGTGCATATCCTTTTTTGGAATGATTGACGATAAGAATATTAGCGCACGGGATACATATCAATGTCCACGATTCATGCACTCTGCAAAATGGCCTTTGCTGTGCTTCCTTTCTTCTATGTCTGATGAAGTATTGTGTTGTGGTACATGTACTTCATGGTTGCCGTCTTGTTTGGGCACTTCATTGTTTGTCGGCGACCTATGTCTGATGAAGTATTGTGTTGTTGTACTTGTGCTTGTTTCTATCTTGTTAGGGCACTATCATGTTTTTGTCGGCGACCTATCACCTGATGTGAACGCTGACATGCTCCGCACCTCTTTCTCGGAATTCGGTGAAGTTACGTAAGTTCCCGAAAGTATGCTACTCTGCACACAGGGTACTGGCACGGTGTGCTGCCCACCTTGCATGGCCATGAACTAGGTAATCAGCTGGAGCATTGCATCATTATTGATCTGGTGCAGTCTTCAGCTTCCAAGCGAGCTTTTTTCTGTGAGACTTTGGATAGTTTTTGTGCGTGATGCCAGTATAATGCCCGGTGCCGGTGTACACACCCAGTGTGTCAACACTCTTGTCCCATTTTTCTAGCCCGCCTTCGTGTAAACGTCCATGGGCAACAGCACGGGCACAGTGCAGTATGTGCACAGCTCGACGCAAATGTACGGTACTAGTAATGAGGGTCTAAACCGGGGCATTGCCCCGTACGGTTAGAATGGTCACAAGACCGAGACTCTACCGACCGGTTTATGGTTGTAGTCAGAAGCAGTTGCCCATACAGTGCGTCCTCGCCTTGTTCACGCTGTCACCGTGAAAACATGTTACCTATCAGGCAAAACTTGCGTGTACTGTACTCTTAACTTACAGTGCACCGTGCTAACCGTATACATACAGAAATACAGTGTGATGTGAAAATACAGTCGATTTATCCGAAATATCGCCCGGGCTCAAATTGACGCCCACGTTTGGACCTTTTTACGGTGTGCAATGAAAGCAGCTCATCGCACATGGCACCCATGTCATGGCCATAGCTTGAAGATCAATGTTGCACATTCTTGTGGGATTGTGCACTCTTGCCAAAAATATTACTCTTTACATGTTCCATGCAGTCCACAATCTCTAATACTGTTTTATTTTATTTTGCTTTCGATTGTTGCCAGTGACTCTCGGGTCGTTTGCGATGCATCGAACGGCAAGTCGAGGGGTTTCGGCTTTGTGTCCTTTCCAACGAAGCAGGTACAGTTCTGTGTGTGTGTATGTGTGTGGACGCAAGTCTTTAGACCTGAGTGAGGTGTTCTTGACTGTTTTACTGTGTGCGACTCAGTGAAAGTTGACTAAAATCATCCCTGCATTACTTGTTATGGCCACAAGGCATACTTTTGTACCAGCCTGTACCTGCACTGTGTGCATCTTTGTAGCATCCTTCCTAGTGCGTCCCAAGCTTGAATACCGATCGCGTTTGGATTTTGCTTTTCAATACATGGGTGGCAGCATTTTTAACTTTACAGGGGGGGGGGTGCTTTTTTACCCTGCAGTATGTTATATCTAGGGCATTTGATACTGAACTTACTGCGCGTGTATCTCAGACTATGAACACTCTTGTGGGACATCCGATTTCTGTTTCATTTCAATGTCCTTTTCTGAGGAGTTGTTCTTTGTATGCTGTGTGTTGCTCGTGTAGGAAGCCCAAGCTGCTATCGACCGTATGAATGGTGAGTTTTTTTCGTTTTGCGCATCTCTCTCTGTCTCACACACACACTATCCGTATGATCGAGAGTACATAACCCCAAGAGTGTGCAACTGCCTGCACAACCTCTATGCTGTGCTGCGACGGCAGAACTTCACATCACGTGACATGGTTCAAAAGATTATGCTGGCAAACAGTGCAAAGTGATCACAAGAGAGTTGTACCCAAAGCTAGGCTGCGTAGAACCCAGTATCTATCATGCACAGAGTGCACATAATGTGTACGGGTTCATCACGTGATGTGAAGTTCTGCCGTCGCAGACCCCATAGCTGGAGTTGCACACTCTTGGGTTATGTACTCTTGGTATGATCAAGAGTGCATAAACAAGAGTATGCAACTGTGGTTATGGGACAGTGCGCGGCGCGCTACCTTCATTACGTAACTTGCCTCCATCACACTCTGAACGCATGCACTCAAACCCAAAATTTCTCGTACGAGCCATTCATTTTTGCTCAAATTGTTTCATTACCTACGGAATCTCTAAATTTTGGCGCATGAACTCCAGTTCATTTCAAACCAGAGGGAAAGTGTGGTGTTTTGTTTTTCCGCAGTGCGCGGACTGCAGCTGAATGCAGTGCGCAATGCATCTGGCCCATAGAAAAGAGATACCAGTTGCATACTCTTGTTTATGGACTCTTGGTATGATGCATGCTTCTTGTTCTAGTCCCGTTTCTGTTTGCACTGTCTTGTTACTAAATACTGAAGTAATAGGTAAGGACTGCACTCTGAGCAGTGTGCTGGTTCTGTTGTTATTTGCTGTATCCTCCAGGTCAAGTCATAGGTCAGCGTCCGGTCCGCACTAACTGGGCAACTAGGAGAATAAATCAGCGTGATGGTACGTTAGCGAGATCTCTATCACCTGCGCATATTACTGAGATGGTTGATTCACAGTGAAGTCTTTACCACCTGTCCTTGAGAACCACTACAACCTGAAGCAAGGGGTGTTATCCAGTCAAAAGAGCCTAGATAAGGCAGCCACCTGTACACGAGGCCTCATTTGGACAGTCCCTTGTCATGAGAGCTTAGATAGGTTTCACTGTACACACGTCTTTTGTGGTGCGTTCAAGAGTATTAGGCCTTTCCGTGTTGATTTTGTTGTCTGTGGAAAGTAGTTGGGCGGATACACCATTCCCAAAGCACTGCAAAGAACCGAACCAGTTCAGTCCTTTGCAGTGCTTTGGGGATGGGTGTGTCCACCCAACTACTTTCTAGCGATAAAGTTGCAAGATGCCTCAAAGTTTGTTATCTGCAAGTCCTTTATACTTGTACTTGCGTAGGAATCAAAAACATTGTGACTTGTTCTACTTACGTTGCTATGCTCAAGAAATGTTTTGACTCGGTGGAACGAAACACTTAGACATTGATTGGACATGCTTCTTCCATGTTGGTTCAACCGTCACATCAACAGTCCGTAACCCCAAGAGGGTGCAACTCTGTACATGCGGATCCGCGCGGCGGAATTCCAACATTACGTCAAAGATGACGTACATGTTCGTTGCGCTAGTACTACTCTCTGGTTCCAAGCACCGCGGAATGCGGAGTTTGGTCTTCTGTGCCTCAGCGGCATGACGTAATGTTGGAAATCCCCCGCCGGGCAGAGGGCCTACAGCAGCCAGAGCCCAGATGCACACTCTTGGGGTTATGGACTCTTGGTCACATGACGATGATGATGTCAGCCTTCTTTGTTCCTCTGTCCACATGCCATGATCACTTTTTACACATTTATTTTTGTGACAAATATGTGAAACCACTCCATACGTGTACTGGGACGTGCTATCCGTTGTCCTCAAGACAATGCCCCATATCTACTTAAGTGAGAATGTGTATTAGCTGGAGTCCTGTTCCACTCTAATAATACTCTTGACATGTTGCATTGGCTAGTGTAGAATGTCTTCTAAATCAGAAGATAGTCTGTTCAATTGTCTAACGTTTTTTTTTACTTTCTTTGTGTATTGTTCACTGCAGTGGGTGGCAAAGTTTTGAATTTCGAAGAGGTATCGCAGCAGTCCTCGCCATACAACCTCACCGTCTACATCGGTAATCTCGTTAGTGGTGTAACAGGTGAGTTGTTGAACCAATGGATTTGTGTCTTGTGTTTGTGGTTTGTAACCCAAAGCAACACGATGATCACTGCCTACCTTGTGGTCACGCAATAGAGTTTTACTCACTGTCCTATGCCTGCGTGCTGTCATTATATTACGGCGGTTTCTTTCCTGAGGTTCCGCTCGCCGTTTCAGACTTTCTTGATTCCAGTTGACCGGTTTGCTGTTGTTCTTTGTGTTTGCTCAGAGGATATGATTAGAAATTTGTTCAGTTCGTATGGTCCCATAATGGAGATCCGGTTCTTCCCAGAAAAGGGCTACTCGTTCGTCAAGTACGTGATAGATGTGTTTAGTTTCGCTGCATGGAAATTTAGACTCCATTGTGTCTGCTGCGTTGCGTGCAATTATTATCTCAATGCCTACAGTCCATTCAGAAAAAGATGATATCCTAGCTTTTGGCCATAAATGGGTCAAATTTTGAGTTTTCGTCACAATATTTTTGGCAATCCCCCATGGAATGTGCTTCCAATTGTGTTTTTGAAGTCCATTTCTCCAAAAGCAAGCCATAACAAGAATTGTATTTCGGCCAGGTTTTGCCCCCAAAGCACTGAATTGGGGAAAAGCCATGAAAAGCCAACCCGTGCACTCCACTTGCAGAACAGTACATTTGCGGTTCAAACCCCAGTTGAGGTACCTTTTTTGGCCCCTTTTTCAATTTTGGAATCTCGAGGCACTGGCAAAATCGCCAAACACGGGAGCTCTCCAGGGCCAGCGCTCATCTTTTTCTGAATGGACTGTAGTGGCCCTAAGCCCTTGTTCCTAGGCCTTTTCTTGCAAACACGTGCATTTCAAGCCGCACATGTGTCCAAACAATTGAAGTCCAACTCATATTTTAGCCCAGTGTGCTACTAATAACAGTTAACATTACACATTAGTAGGCAAGCTTGAGTTACTTGTACTACATCTTAACATGATTGTACTATCCTTCCGTACGCGCAGGTTGGGGTTTGTAAATGCCTTGATGACTATCAAATTACACAACAATAAACCTGCACTGCGTAGCATTGGACAGTTGTGAATATTGGGCATAGTCCAGTACATATACCCGTAAGTGACGTTTGCCATCATTTGCTGTCATTGGCTGTATGATAGATATGCATCACATGAACAAGCTGCCATGGCCATCTGTGGCATGAACGGCTCTCAAGTCAGTGGCACTTCGATCAAGGTGAGTGCAGTGTGTACTGTGTGTACGGTCACCATGCTGCTGATGATGATGATTGTGGCTGGCCCAAAGGCTCGACCTGTGTTTGTCCTGGGTACACTGCACCTATTTGTGCATGTGCTGGAAGGCCATATTACTTGTAACCTACTGCTTTGTCTATAGGGAATTGCCGTGACCTTTCTTTCTCTGATTTAGCTGAACCCAAGCACATGTAATTCTGGGGCAAGCCATTCTGTTGGTCTGTATTTGTGGATCCCCCCTGTATTGCATAGACTACGCGTCCTCAAACGCCAGATATGTGTGTGAATATTATCATAATACTAAAGGCCAACCGTACACTGTGTGTTTGCTTCCTTGCGTGCAGTGCTCCTGGGGAAAGGAGCCTTCAGAGGCAGCAATTCTTCTCCAGGTAAGAGTCTGAACTGGATCAACTGGTCCAATAGTGGTCGAGTATCTCTATCCTGCCTGCTTCACTTTAAGTTGCGCACCACTTTGTGTGACTCACTAGACCATGGTTTCAAATTTGATTATACAGTAGGCATATTCTATGCAACAACCCTGGCTTACATGCTGTCGGCCTTTCAGTGTGAGTGCTTTCTGTCACAAGCACTGCCTCGTCCGTAAACCAGCCTATGCCTGGGGCACCGTTGCCTATGACCTAGGAATGATTCATGCGGCGGCCACTATGGAGCTGTGCAGTTCACACACTCTCTGATCCTCCCCCTAGCATCGTCACAGGAAGGCAGCTGCGATTGCTCTGCCGATCGGCCTCGTCAGCCTATGGGGAACTATGTTTATACTGCAGACACGAGTATAGGGCATCGGCAGTCAATCCTGGCAACAACAGTGATAGGCGTCACACTCGTGTTCACAGACCACCTCGTGCTGGCTGCATACAATGAGATCCAAAACAGTGTGATGATGCTTTAGGACGGCTTGCATCGGATTGTCTACATATCTACCTGGGAGTGGGCCATAGGCGAAGGTCATCACGAATGGGGCGAAATGCAGCGACCCAGCTGGCTGGAATATCTAGAATGGCTTGGTCCTACATGTGCGTACAATACCCCGTCAGCCTTGTCGATAACAACCTTGGATAGAACGACCAAACGCGCTTCTGACCAGGTGACCGTTTTACTGCATACGGTCAACCTCACGAGTAACGACACTTCTCTCATGCAGGATCGAGGGTCATTATTCCCAAGCTGTACTGTACATGCCCCGATGCGTTTGTATTTAGCTGTACTTTGTGTGTGTGTGTCATTTCACTGTCTGCAGCAACAGCAGTACTTCCACTACTACTACAATCAGTACTTGAACCCATCCAACCCAATGGTGAATATGCAGTACGGCCTTTATCAAGCAGGTGCTGCTGCTCTGCCGTCTGCAGCCGCTGGTGCTGCAGCTGCTGGTCCTCCGTATGGGTAAGTGCCTCCAGTACTGTCGGTCGACGAAGAACTGGGGTGGGGGTCAGCCTCCTAGCCTAGACCGTTCTTATTTTCATGTATTACAGTCTATGCACAGTTGAGTCACTGTGTATACATTGGTATGCTGTGCTTGATGAAATTCTAGCCTGGTCGTTCTTTGGCGTCTTACAGTACTGTACATGTATACTCACACAGCGGTTGTAACTGCCAAACTCTGTTTGTGTTGTATGTGTATGGGGGTTAGTGAGCCACACATGCTCTTCGAGGTCACTTGCACGGTCATTCAATTGCGACTTGCTCCATTCTCCATGATTGGTTCTTGACAAATCCTGGATTAGTACGGTGCCTTGTTGAAAAGAGATTTGAGCAAATCTACTGCTCGACTTCAACTCAGTTGTAATCCAGTGCTAGTGTCACGTGTGTCAAGTATAGAGTTTGTGTGTGCTTCTTTGTCTGCAGCATGCTGCCCATGTCTCCTAGCTATCCAGCACAGGGTGCTAATGGAATGACGTTCCCGGCAGCGCAGGCACCAGCCCAGCAGTACAGCAACGCCCCTGGCAACGGTATTGTACCCACTGCGGCCGTCGCTGTTGCCCGCGGTATGGCTCATCACTAATGACTTAGTGCCTCTCTCTCTTTCAGTCTTCTCCTATGCCGCCATGTCCTGTGCCATTGTAGGAATTGTCTACTGGTTGAGAAATGTCCCCGACTTGAATTTGTCAACGTCTCCCCAAGTAGCCAGCTATCCATTTTGGAAGTACTGTTGACTGCTGCATCGATGTGTTGCTACCTATCTATCAGCTTGTGTGATGATGCTAGATTGCTGTTCGAATAGCCCCAATGTACATAGGTTTGCCGTCCGTCACCGTGTGCCATCAACGCCTGCTCCTGGAATAATAGCTTTGATGAGCTATATGGATACACGGTGCGGCTTGAAGGACAACTCCCCTCCGTTATTGTATCATAGTCATCATTGTCATCATCAATATCAAACTTGACCTGCACGCCCGCCACGTTGTTAGCGTTTGACCTGTCACCGATAGTGAGTCGGGACACAATCCTACAACCGGTCAGCCTGAGCCAGTGAGCAACAGCCTTCACTTTCTCTCTCCGTTACCAGCTCTCACACTTGTCATCACCCTTGTCTACTGCACAGTGTTGTTGTTGTCGTCATCGTTCTTGTATCTTCTTTCCTAGTAGTTTTCTTCACCAGTAATATCAGGTAGCCACGGGCTTCCTGCCGCAGTGATTGTCGTTGAGTCACATGTGTCGCTCCGGACTGCAGGTGGCAATTACAATTACAGCTGTCAACTTTCTACCTGCCTCTCTTGGCTACTCGTCTATTTCCAATTTGTACCCGCTGTGTCTTCCAGCACCGAGCTCTGCCACCGATTTGTCAACACTGTGCAGAGCGATAGCAGTAATGCTGTAGTTCATCCCAGCGCCAATCAGCGTGCTGGTGTCCGTGCAGTTCTGCAAGTATTTGTGGCGTCCTGCAACGGCTCTTCTCCTTTGTGTCTTCCCTCCTGCAAACTAGCTTGCATATATGTTCTTCTTAGGAAACGACTAAACCTACTTAAAATTTACTTTTTAAATTCGAATTGTCCTCAGCGGAGCCACGGTGGCATACTAGGTGACCACCTGCTTGAAGCTGGGGCGCTGCGCAAGCCTGTCATTTGCTGAAAATAGTCAGCATGACAATAATTTTAACCCCTTGCGCTTCTCTTCCGTTTGCCCAAGATCTCGAGAGAACAAAACTGTTGCAAACGGATTTCTATTTAGCGCCGCTGCTGCCGCCTGGCTGGTGTTTTGCCTGCCGCGACGGCGCGCTTGGCTGTACCAATTTGTTCTCCCTCTCGTTGAGCTGCTATGCTATCATCGGGACTGCAGATGCGCGTATGCGTCCATTGCTGCCGCTATTGTTGATCATGTGCCTGTGCTTTACGGCATGGATGTATATGCGTGTGTGTGTGTGTGCTCTTTCAAGCACTCTGTACGTTTGTACATATTGCCCTCTAGGTTTTCCGTTAGTACCAACATCATGCTTGGCATGCCGCTCTGTGTACAGTTGCTAGAGCAGCATTACAGGGAAAGGCCAGTACCATCGGTCTCGCTCACCACCATCATTCCGTTTGCTGTACATTAGCTTTGGCGCTGTGGCCAGCAGCCGCTACTGCACTAACAATACGCTGCCCCCATTTGGTATCCCCGTTCCATTTTTGCTTGCGTTATTTCACATTTCTTGCACACTAATTTGTAGTTTTGCCAGGATTTCTAGCTCAGTCCTATGACGAATGCGGGCGGCGCGGCCAGCTGATTTTGCCGCATCGTCGTCGTATTGCGTCGTTCTCCATCTCTAGGTCACCTTGTTTTCCTTTACATTTTCTTATCTTGACTTTGTAGTGCTTTCTCTTCTTGCGCATATTGTACATAATCATCATCATCATCATCTTCTAGTCTTGCCATTTGTCCAGTTTTTCTCATACTTTCTCTAGTGCTTCTAGTAGTTTTTTCCTTGCTGCACCCCTAGCCCCTGTTTCTACTGCACTCCTTTCTCCAGTTGCAGTGTGCAGTTGTGTTTCAATGCTGGTTTGGTTTAGCTTTGCAGTGCAGCGTAGTGTAGTTTGTGTGTAGGTGTATGCGTGTGCAGTGTTCAATGTTACTCGAAACAAATGTTATTCAATGTTTATACCTGCCTTTTTGGGTTGTTATCGCCGAGCACCAGTGTGTGTTTCTCTGTCGGTGTGTGTGCGTGCTTGTCTGTAGTATTATGGCCGATTGTCGCGTACGGGAAAGTCGTCGCGCGCTGGCTTTCCCGTACGCGAAATAGGCTCAGATCTTTCTTTTTCGCGACGAGACACGTTTCCCGTACACAAAATGAAGTATAAATCGGCCTTTAGGAATCATTATAAACGCCTGGCTTCCAATGACGAATGTTGTTTTGTTCGTGTGTTTGCATATTTGAAAAACCCTACACACCATTCTCAAATCAAGTGGTCTCCTGTCCCCGGGGAAAATTACGATTCCGCGGCGCGGCCGCGTTTTTTGCGATTTTTTAAAAGGCCGTGTTTTCCGCGATTTTCCCGCGATTTTTTTTACTTTTCTGTTGCACTACACGTACACACAGTGCACTGTTCGGTCAGCAACGTCTCATCCGGTGGCGGCTTTGTACTCAAATATGACGAGCGCTTACACCAGAGACTTGTAACTGATTGATTTCACTACGTACTCACTGAAAATTGCCTCATATCAACTGCAAGCTTGCCGCCGCGAGATGATATCAATAATATTCACCGCATATTTACCGCAAATTCACCCCAAATTATGCCGCGTTTTTTGCGTTTTTTTCCCGCAATTTTCCCCGGGGACAGGGTCTCTTCGCTGCAAATTACTCCTAGTAATTTCTCAATCAAATTTTTGGCCAGGAGCCATCATCACTGATCCATCAGGATCCTGAAGAAAATTTGATGAGATTATTGCATGCAATCATTTGCAGCGAAAAGACCACTTGATTTGAGAAAGGTGTGTGTAGGGTTTTTCATGTAATGAAGTGGCTGCAATGGAGCTTGCGCACATTAAGGAATGTTTGCTTATTGCCGCATTGACAATACAGTCAACCTACCCTTATAATCACAACCCCTATAACCACTGATAACCAAGAGTATATAACCCCCCCCCAGAGTGTGCAACTCCTGATAACCTTTCTATGGGGTACGCCGACGGCGAAAACTCACATCACGTGGTGCAGTGTCGCAGTTGTACGTTTCCAGCACGTTTTAGCGAGCAGCGGAGTACTAAAAAAGCACTCTCTGACAGAAACTCGCTGCGTGTATGCAAATCCCCAGCATGATCACGGGCAGATTTTCGAATTGCGCGCTCGCTATCCTACATTTGTACGTTGTACAAAGGTATTTGAGACACGCTATAACGATATTACCGAGTATATAACCTACCAAGAGTGTGCAACTCTGCATATGGGGTCTCCGACGGCGAAAACTCACATCACGTGTCTCAGATACGTTCGGGCTACGTATCCAGGAGTTGATCCTTGCAGGAAGGGCTTGGAGAAAACGTCATGTCTCGTAACATGGCCAAACCACATCAACTTAGGCTGGGCTATCATTGGAAACTGGGCTCTTATTTTTTTTTCAATTGTCAACTATCAAGCCAACTCCAGTCTAGTATACAGGCATAAACTGACCATATCAAGATTGTACTGATGTTTCAACCTAAAAAAAAAACAGATGTTTCACAATAGCATTGGCGCCAGGAAGGAAGCAGTAGACCGAAAACCTCCTTACAATTATTATGTTCTTGGCATGTTGTACTGCTGTTTTATATGCAGTCAATATACTTGTTGCATACTCCAATTGTGACCTGCGCTACTATCAGAGACTGTGCTCTTATTATTTCAAACCACCCTCACCCCGGGTCATTATTGGAGACTAGGCTAGCTTTTGGTTGATAAATATGGTGGTAAAGACACACCTGGCAATATGGCGGTAAACACACGCCTGCCCACACACGCTCTCTAGGCTGCAAAGAAGAAGATTGCCTGATGAGTCCAGCGGGGACGAAACGTACGTCGCAATCGAGCTATGTCGTTGCTGTGTCATCATCTATGTGCCATGCGCTACTTGATGTACCAGCCTGCTATGCCGGATACCGCCAGCCATGCATCGACCAGGCGCCAGGCGCGAACTGATGGTGGTGGTGGTGAGAAGGAGAGCTCTGTGCCAGAACTTTGCAGCCTAGAGAGCGTGTGTGGGCAGGCGTGTGTTTACCGCCATATTGCCAGGTGTGTCTTTACCACCATATTTATCAACCATATGTACAGCTGCAGTGGTGTCTTCAACTTCATTCTCCCGAGTTAGGCTAGCTTTTATTAGAGAAAATACGGTATGTAGAGTCCACTATCCAGGTACATACCGTATTTCCCCGATTATAGGTCGCACCTTTTTACACTAAAAAGCAAGGGTGAAAAAGGGGGTGCGGTGCGACTTACAATCGAGCATGACTTGCTACTGAAGTCAATACTACTAGTATATCAAAACAATATTACTCAAACCTGGAAATTGGGGTGCGACTTATACAATGTCATGTAATCGAGTGCGACCTCTAATCGGGGAAATACGGTACATGTATGAACTATGAGGTAGGGCAAGCCTCACTTGTTTCCCCATCTCTCTACATGTATCTCTGGCTCTCTAGCTCTGTCTCTGCCTTTGTCTTTGTCTCTCTCTGTCTACACTTAAGGAGGCTCCGAACAGTTGCGCAGCGCAATGTAAAAAGTGCACCTCGAAAATCTGTTTTTTGCCGCGAGATTCGAAAAATGTTGTGTTCCATGCGGAAACAAGCTGTTGTTTAGAAAGAAGTTTTTTTGATTTCTCTGTGCTCGCAGTTGTTCCAGGATGTAGTTCTACTCGTTGAAGTGTTTCTGTAGCCGTGGCTGTTTCTACGCTGGAAATAATCATTGGCCATGGCTAATGCTAAACAAAGGCAGTTCCTACGCTGCTTGATTTTTTTTGTGAAAACTTTGTTGAAGCGGTCCGATGTGGCCACGAAGAACAAAATTTAATAATTATTAATACTGCCGAAGAAGGGTGAGAAAAGCAGGCTGAAGTCAGTGAAGACATCGATGTCGAACGTAGTGATACTACAGTACTGGCACCGGAATTTAGCATGGACTACCTGTGGAGCGTGAAGTGGCTGCCCACTCGCTGGTAAGTGGACCCACTTGCAGCTCCAGTCGCACGAGTGCCGTTTGAAACTTTCTGTGGATCCTAGAGTATCCTGAGCTCAGTGGACGACGCATCTCAGAGCTGCTGAACTTGGGCTACTGTCCCTGTAGGAATGAGGTTCGTGTCAACCACTGTACTGCACTGATGGTGTAAGGAAACGCTGGCCAGAAGCTTGTGTTCTGAACCAGGGACGAACTTCTAAATCCTGCTTTTGTAAAAATGGGGATGCCACAACTAAGATGTGCACACCCAGGTGTGTATTGGGTAAATGCCTGTGGTTGATTATTTCGAATCCTTTCCTATGCGCAAGTACATGCGTTTGTGTATGGGTGTGTGTGTGTACGCGCGCACGTGTGTGTGTGTGTACGTGCGCATGCGCATGCGCGCGTGTGTGTGTACGCGCGCATGCGCGCGCGTGTGTGTGTGTGTGCAAGCTGTTGAAAGGTGTAATCCGAGCACAAGTTGCTATGTCTAACGTAGTTTGTTCGCTATCCTCGCTTCAGCGTTGGCCAGGTGTATGAGTGTGTGTGTACGCACGTGTGTGTGTGCGCGTGCTCGTGCCCGCATGTGTGGGTTCGCACGCAATGTTGATCTGGGTTATGCACATGTCCCCACGAGTGCACTGTGTGGATGTGCATGCAAATGTCTGTGTATATGTATGTGTGTATGCACGTGCATGTGTGCGCGCGTGTGCAAAGCTAGGATGTGTGCGCGCGTGTGCAAAGCTAGGTGTGGAAGGGGGGGGGGGGCTCACCGTGCTGGTTCTGTATGCCTCTCCTCTCTGGTGTCCGCAAGGACAGTGTGGTAATGGCTTTACAGTACAGGAGTTGCATGTGAATGCGCATTTGTGAACCGTATTAGAGAGACAAAAAGAATTGCCGATAGAGCATGACAGTACACTACATGTCTATCGTATATGTGTACGCCAGCGTGTGTAGATGCATATTGCCCTTCATGCGATGTTTTTCTGGAGTCTGCTGCTATCAACGCAAGTGACAACCAGCAAATGCATGCCCAGTGCAGTGGCTGGTCTTCATGCTTTTATTTACACTAAGTCCTACTATGGACTAGTAGTGTTACAATGATGCATGCACGAGAGTGCGTGCATGTGGGTGGGTGTTTATGTGCGTGCGCACGCGTGTGAGTGTTTAGTGTGCCTTATTTTGAATGCCTGCTTTCACATTATTCATGTGCCAGTTTCATGGTCGAGGTTGTTATGAAACCTCGCTGCCTTACATGTACATGTACACTACTCGTATATCAATGTGCTAGGACTGAAGGCTACATGACATACATGTACATGTACATGTAATGATACATGTACCTTTCCAAGCACAGACTGTCTGGTATGTCCAAAGGAGGTTGCAGCATGAAAATAACTTCTTCTAAAATAATATTACCATACTACCATGTCATTGGTAGTGATATTTAGTCAAGAAGGCAAGAATGGTCAGATTTTCTAAAAAGCTATTTTCAGAATTGGCCTAAAAATACCATACTTTGATACCTATATTGTTTGGTAGGGGCCTAAAGTGCCTGGTGACACCATCAAAACTGTCCATTATCGGTTTCCTTGGGGCTCAAGGATCACAGAAAGCCACAAAAATCAATATGTCCATGGACAAAATGTTGCAGGCTGAACCATTTCACAATTCAGCACCCGATGGAAATTTCGGTACCCGTAATTTCGAAAAAGTGGCTCGCCAAGGGCAAAACCAAGACGCAGTCTATCTTGTGTAGCCAAGATACCTCCAAATGTGGTTCTTAAACATATGATGAAGAAAATGCTTAGTATCCTCCTTCCAGGAGGCTTCTTTGGGTCAAAAACCAAATTTTTTTACCATATTTTTACCGAAAATCAAGAAATTGTACACTCACTAAATACACCAGAATACCTCTTATATGCCTGGTGACCCTACCTAAAAACTATACCAAATTGAAGAAGAGACATCACTCCACCATTCTATGCATAAAAAACAGGGTGTCCATGGACCTTTTATTTTTACTTCTTTAGGTGGGAGCCTCCTTAAGTAAAAATTAACGCTGTTGCACTTGTCGTCATGGTAACCAGGTCATGACGACGCGAGGGCCGGGATCGGGACCAAGTCCAAGGCGATCAAAATGAAGGGACTACAAAGTACAATGTCAATAGTCAATAGTCAATACTCAATAATTATCAAGCCGGTAAATATTAGTACTGTTATCGCATCCTAACCTTACCTGCCAACCTGTATTCCAGTCTAGGAGTCACCGTAACTACATAAACAGCTGAGCTTGGACACCGAACTGTTTCCAAGAACACTTGCAGCGCAAACTTTGCGGCTCCGCAGTCGAAGAAATTTCTCGCCCGGTCCTTTCAATTTTTACTGCGGGCAACGAGTTCATTCGCTGTCGGCCTACCTACTACACCGTACTCGTCACAAAGTGAGCAAGGAGAAGATCATCATGGTCAAGTTGCACATCAAGCGCGGAGACGAGAGTCTCTTTCTGTATGACACGAGTACACGGATAGCGATGGAGGAGTTGCTGCACGAACTGGTGGCGCTCAGCAACGCTCGCGAACAGGTGCTAAGACTGAGCGAAGGTAAGCATAAACACAATACAATCTACCAAGTAATGTATACAATACAGACCCTGCGTGTGATCCGGTGCACCGTTCAGGGCCGGAACAATGTGTATACAGCGCGCATGGATGCATGAAATGGAAAGATTGCGATCATTCCTGGGATCAACGGAGTCCGACAAAATTGAGTAGTTCAGGCCCGGAGCCAGCTCCTGAGGGGTGGTATGGCCCCAGGTCGACTGCGTGGTCGATCATTTTTCCATGCCCGATTTCAGTGCCAATGGATGATGGATCCGTAGTCTATCATGTAGGTGTATGCGGTGGTGCATCGTGTTGTTTCTGCTACACACATACTGCTAGCAACAGTCCATGTATGTCCATGTGTACAGATATTGCAGTAGACTAGTACTGACTAGTCCTCACAGGACACGAGGAACAGTTTAGGAGAGAGAGAGAGAGACGCTAGCGAGGATAGCTTATTTATGGTTAGTACGTACACACGATTCATCGTACACTGGACAGTCTGTGAAAGCGGGACTGATTGGTAAAGGCAGGTCCGGCCATGGCAGCCACACCACCAGCCGTCCCGGCAGTGCGGGCACCAGCCCTGTAATGTCTAATGAACAAGTGTCCTATTGTACTGCTGGGTGCCAAAGAAGAGAGGAGCACGGAAGAAGGACCAGGCTAGAACAGACCCGAATGCCTGGGCAGTCCGGTGCTGTGTTTGCCTGATGGGTTCACTGTATACACAGGCAAAATATGCACTGAGTGCGGCGGACTTGCTTGTACTGAGTGCGGACTTGCTTGTACTGAGTGCGGACTTGCTTGCACTGAGTGCGGACTTGCTTGCACTGAGTGCGGACTTGCTTGCACTGAGTGCGGACTTGCTTGCACTGAGTGCGGACTTGCTTGCACTGAGTGCGGACTTGCTTGGACTGAGTGCGGACTTGCTTGGACTGAGTGCGGACTTGCTTGCACTGAGTGCGGACTTGCTTGGACTGAGTGCGGACTTGCTTGCACTGAGTGCGGACTTGCTTGCACTGAGTGCGGACTTGCTTGCACTGAGTGCGGACTTGCTTGCACTGAGTGCGGACTTGCTTGGACTGAGTGCGGACTTGCTTGCACTGAGTGCGGACTTGCTTGGACTGAGTGCGGACTTGCTTGCACTGAGTGCGGACTTGCTTGCACTGAGTGCGGACTTGCTTGGACTGAGTGCGGACTTGCTTGCACTGAGTGCGGACTTGCTTGCACTGAGTGCGGACTTGCTTGGACTGAGTGCGGACTTGCTTGGACTGAGTGCGGACTTGCTTGGACTGAGTGCGGACTTGCTTGGACTGAGTGCGGACTTGCTTGGACTGAGTGCGAACTTGCTTGGACGCAAAGCTGCTAGTGGCTACTGCCACAAAGGCATTGAAGAGCAAAAGCCAGTAACTAGTAACTTGCCCGTTGGTTGGCTACAGCGCGACCAGGCATAATTGTTGCTACTGTATTTCGTTACTGCTTGTACAGAGATATTGGACCTCGCAAAGCATGGCGTGGCAATGGCTCCAAATATGCAGGTAGGCAGCCATATGGACTCACATTGCACCTGAGTCCCGAGCTAAAGTAGGCATGAGCTGGATTCGGAAAATCAGGCTACTGCGGGCCAGTGACATCATGGCTTCTCAGTTTCCAACCCAAGCCGAATCCAGCTTACTCAGTGTGTATGTTATCAAGTTACGATGCATTTTAGGCACAACACCCATTTTATACTTCAAAGTTCAATGTCATATACATGACATCACTCGCTGCATACTGGACCTACAACTCCACATGCTGGGCCATGTTAAACCCGGCCGAATTATATCAAATCTGCCTGAACCTCTAACTCGGTATGGTTCATTCCACAGTGACGAGAGCTTGGCAGAATCGATGTAAGCCCATATTCCCAGGACCTGTATAGAGATTGTGACATTTTCAAAGCACTCGCGTCTTGTTTTTTTGGCAGACTAAGGCCGTGATCGTTTGGTCGGATCCAGATCCAGATCCATCGGATCCACTGGATCTGCAATGATCGATTGGTCGAATCCGGATCCAGATCCTTCGGATTTGGATCCGAGCAACCCTGCCCCGGGAGCAGGGTTGACTGGATCCATCGGATCCAAATGTGACCTTTGTGCGTATATGGTGGGTAAAAATCATTTTTATACTCATTGTCGTACGTCTAGTGGACTTTTGTTGACTTTTAGTACGACGCGGGCGATCAGTACGACTTGTGCCTTTTTTGGGTGACCTGTCAGCGCCATTTTTTACTTCGTCAACATGGCAACAGCCAAGGTCCGCAAAAAAGTGTTCGGTTGATTCTGAAGGATCCGACGGATCTGAGATTTGGATCTGGATCTGGATCCGACCAAACGATCATAGCCTAATACTGAGAGCAATGATTTCTAAATGAACTGCAGATATTATTATGTCACGTACGGTGGAACTTACTTCCTACGTACATGTACTCTGAGAAGGCATACTAGAGAGGTTCCGGAGTACGATTTTTCGTGCCAAAATCCCAGAGCCGCTACGGATTTTTTATACGTCGTTTTCGAGCAGTGAACTGTTCCGGAGTACGGAACTTATGTGTTTGCCGTCATTGCCTAGGTTACGAGCGCAAGCACGTCACATTCCCACGCTATGCCTTTTTATTTTGAAATTTTGTACCGAAATCAAATCTTCCCGCCGAAAATCGATGTTTCTCGTACCAAATTTGTACACGAAAAGTCTTTCTGCACCCGACGACGCAAAATCTCCATACGAAACATGATTCGTATGAAAGCCAGTCCACACGGATTCTCCGTGCCGAAAAATCGTATGGAGCACGCCTCGAAAAAATCTGTAGAGCCCATACGGATTTTGGCACGAAAAATCGTACCCCGGAACCTCTCTATTATCGCTTACTTAGTACATGTACAGACATTGGCCAGAGCACGCTTGTATTGATCCATTCTGACATATGTAGGTATAAGAAGTATCTCGGATGCTAAGTCAGTTACACAGTTTCCTTCTGCCCATGTGTGTATGTCTTTTCAGAGTTGTACTGTATATGTACTGTATCTGCATGGACATGCACAAAGGGTTAAAAGTGTGTAAGCAGGAGTACTATATATAAATGTGTGGCCAACGGCTGAGGTGAAATTCCGGAATCAGGATACCGGTAACTCTACTATAAAATGATGGTTACCGGCAAGAGTACATCCCCCCCCCCCCAGAGCAAGAGTACATAACCCCCCAAGAGTACATAACCCCCCAAGAGTACATAACCCCCCAGAGTGTGCAACGCCTGATCCAGCTCTGCATAGCGTCTTGGTCGAGCGTAATCGGATCTTTGCGTCATAATACCGTACACATCTGAGGGGAACCCGGGGAGTCGCGGGTACACTCGGATCAAAAACAACGGTGCCCTGCCTCGAGACCGGGCTTGCACTGGTGTGGAGTGTACGCATGACATCAGAAGATCCGATTCCGCTCGACCAAAACCCTATGCAGAGCTGGATCGGCGTTGCACACTCTGGGGGGTTATGTACTATTGTTACCGGTTTACCAAAGGCATTAGGACGCTACGCGCTACCTTACACATCCCTGGGCTGAAATGCCATATTTTCCGGGATCAATGCTGACCTGTACTTCTCAATAATAGCCCACACATCCACCGTGTGCCGGTGTATGCCCCAGCATCTCAGTCCAGTACAAACAAGCGCAAACAATGACTTTGGGAGTTTGGATGTTGACTGACTGCAGAACAAACACAACTAGAATGTGATATTCTGCCTCCAACAAGGAGTCCTTTAACCCCGGAAACTTGATACGATACCTCCATCTTGTAGACAGCGTAGTACCCATTGCCTGGACAGGGGCCGATGAAGTCACAATACTAGACTGTGGAACATCTTTCTCTCCGTGACCATTGCATCCCGTAGGGCCTTACAGAGGAACAGATAGCAGAGTTGAAGCTAGAGGACGAGTGGGCAGCACGGTGCCAGCCAAGCGGTGGCTCTCGTCTCAATCCGGACCCTCAGGGACGTCGCAGTGGACAAGGTATGGTAGACTCCACTTATAACAAACTCGCATGTGACAAACTTTTTGATATAGTGAACAATTGCCCATCTCCCTATTTGAACCCAGCGCTTCTCGTTTGCTTGTCTGCCGACATTGACATGATCATACTTGTGGTCCATGGCCAGCCGCAGCTACTGATCAGAGCCAGTCGGTCCCGGCATTGCTCAGGTTACTCACAAGCGCAGTGCATTGGGAGCCTCCACTCGGGTGACCAAGTCACGGTGGGTGCTGAACAAGTCACACTGCAGCCATGATGACGTGACTTAAAATGCGAGCCTGTTCACTGCATGCCATTAAAAAAACTGCAGTAGCTGCGGATCCTTTTTAACCCCAACTTCTATGCGCACAAGTTTGCTCTTCATAAAATATATATCTTCTATACACAAAAAAATACTTTGACATCTTCACTTTCAAGCCCTGGAAGTGAATACAGCTTTGCTTTGGTGACAATGTCACGTTTCTACTTGTACTACACTGAGGTGCCCAAGCTGACATAGTCTGTGTTGTCTCTGTTGATCGTTTCCAGCACCAAGTGACAAACTATCCAGTGTTCTCACCCGTACAGCTGAGGAAGCGAAAGAGAAAGTCTCCAAGGTATCCACAAATAATACACACATCGTGACATACATTACGCAATTGCATGTTTCATTTTGATATTATATTTTCAAGGATTCTCCAGAGGCAAATGGATGGCTATCAAAGCATGGAGTCTCCTGGGGAAAGGAAGTGAAGGTGGCTGTTATGAGAGAGGGACGAAAGGACGTGACAAGGTGAAAAAATAGAACGTGTGACTTTGCTTTGCTAGAACTGACTAGGGCGGAGGTTTTGAGTGCTTTGGGTGTTAAGCACTCAACTGCCTCCGTCCTTCTGTTCACGGTACATTTAAGTTGTATGTGAAGGAGGTTAGATGGGGGGGGGGGGCATGGTCGCTTAGAACGAAAGTGGATGTTCCTGGCACGTGACGGGTACAGTCAAATAGGTACTGCATCCTCTCCAGACCAGCGGCATTGTTGTGTTACTGTTTTGTTGTTGGTTTTTAACAGAAACAAGCCGCCGCCAACATCTGCCTAACAATGGAGGAGGTGACGCAATGCTTAGATCAATTACGAGGTAGCACAATGATTGTGTACCCGATGGGCTTGCCGCCTCATGAACCAATACGCATGGAACTTGAACAGAAGATTGAAGAAGCTGTAGCTGGAAAACAGGTACATGCCTATCAGCCGCTAGCAATCCTCGCTAGACAATTCAATTATTCTCTACATGCAGCAGTCGTTCAGATACTGCTTGGAATACTGGTATCATACAAGCCGGAGAATCCTGCACATGATTACGCGGTCTCAAACTCCACGGGGGTACGCCAGTACTTCTTGTACTTGGGTGCCACTAGCATAGTGTTACTGTAGCATGACACAATGACAGTATAATTGTGATGTCATCTAGTTTAATGCAAGTCACTATGACGTCATAATGTGATGAATCATACATCATGTCTTATGACTGTGGTATGCTGCAACTCACTGTGTTTATCCATGACATTATCTGACCATTTAGGCAAGCAAACTCATCTTGGAAGAATCCACTGCACAACTCTGGTGGGCTGGAAAGGAGATGATGCGAGGCAAGAAGCTGCATGACTATGTCGGCAAGAACGAGAAGACGAAGATCATTGCCAAGCTGCAACGTGTAAGTACGGTATGTGCATGGCTGATGAGTCGTGCCTGACACTGTGATGGGTGCAGGGTGACTGGGACCAGGGGGTGATATCTCAAGCCGGGAACCGCATTACCAGTAGCCGCTCGGAAATGCCGTGCCGCAGTACTCCAGTCTGAGCATTCCCGCAGATATTGATCAGTGTTCCAGTCACTGGCATTCAGTATCACATTCCGTGTGGCGCTGTAAAGGCAGCAGCAGTGCATGCAAGGATATCCACTGCATGTACTGTACACTGTATGCTCTGTATGATGATGATAGCATACAGTCACGGTTGGTTTGGTGTTGGACCCTGTTGTTGGTTGGTCTGTGCACTTGCCAATACATGATGTAGAGATGTTGTGACCGATGTCATGGTGGTAAGTTAGTCCAGGAACGGCTTGTACACGCTGTGTATAGCGTCAGTCGCTAACTAATGAGTCGCTATGTATACAGTGTCAGTCGCTAGTGAGTCGCTATGTATACAGTGTGAGTCACTAATGAGTCGCTAGTGAGTCGCTATGTATACAGTGTGAGTCACTAATGAGTCGCTAGTGAGTCACTATGTATATGTTGCAAAAGAAGGATCCACGAGCGGGATTCGAACCCAGCACCCCTGTCTTTCCGGGACAGTGCCCTACCGATTATAGGCTACCGGGGATCACACACACTCATGGGTCCTTCTTGCTACACTGCTCCCCCGCCCCAAGAGGCTGTGTCCTCACGCCGTACCTACTCGCGGGGGGGGGGGGGGGTACGATGGGTCGTGGGTTCGAGCCATTGCCAGGCGCCAATGTTGCAAAAGAAGGATCCACGAGCGGGATTCGAAAACAGCACCCCTGTCTTTCCGGGACAGCGCCCTACCGATTAGGCTACCGGGGATCACACACACTCATGGGTCCTTCTTGCTACATGTACAGCATGAGTCGCCAGTGAGTCGCTATGCAACGACTTTGCCATATCATCTCAACCAATGATGTAATCGCATAACCTTTATTGTTAATGTGGTGTACACAGTATACGAACTTAGAAGTTGCGACTTCGGCGGTATTAGTCATGAAGTTGGTTGCTCCAACGAGGAGCACACGCTCGTGAGTCAGTCAAGTGTCAAGTTCGGCAAGAAGCGTGTGCTCCTCGTTGGAGCAACCAACTTCATGTACACCGTATAGCCGGCATATAGCATTGAAATCGTGTGATGCTGGTCACGGTGATGCTGGTATGATGCTGGTGTGGTGCTGGTATGATGCTGGTGTGATGCTGGTATGATGCTGGTGTGATGTTGGTGTGATGTTGGTGTGATGCTGGTGTGATGCTGGTGTGATGTTGGTGTGATGCTGGTGTGATGCTGGTGTGATGTTGGTATGATGCTGGTGTGATGCTGGTATGATGCTGGTATGATGTTGGTGTGATGTTGGTGTGATGCTGGTGTGATGCTGGTGTGATGCTGGTGTGATGCTGGTATGATGCTGGTGTGATGTTGGTGTGATGTTGGTGTGATGTTGGTGTGATGTTGGTGTGATGCTGGTATGATGCTGGTATGATGCTGGTATGATGCTGGTGTGATGCTGGTATGATGTTGGTGTGATGCTGGTATGATGCTGGTATGATGCTGGTGTGATGCTGGTATGATGTTGGTGTGATGCTGGTATGATGCTGGTATGATGTTGGTGTGATGCTGGTATGATGTTGGTGTGATGCTGGTGTGGTGCTGGTATGATGCTGGTATGATGCTGGTATGATGCTGGTGTGATGCTGGTGTGATGCTGGTATGATGCTGGTGTGATGCTGGTATGATGTTGGTGTGATGCTGGTGTGGTGCTGGTATGATGCTGGTATGATGCTGGTATGATGCTGGTGTGATGCTGGTGTGATGCTGGTATGATGCTGGTGTGATGCTGGTATGATGCTGGTGTGATGTTGGTGTGATGTTGGTGTGATGCTGGTGTGATGCTGGTGTGATGTTGGTGTGATGCTGGTGTGATGCTGGTGTGATGTTGGTATGATGCTGGTGTGATGCTGGTATGATGCTGGTATGATGTTGGTGTGATGTTGGTGTGATGCTGGTGTGATGCTGGTGTGATGCTGGTGTGATGCTGGTGTGATGCTGGTGTGATGTTGGTGTGATGTTGGTGTGATGTTGGTGTGATGCTGGTATGATGCTGGTATGATGCTGGTATGATGCTGGTGTGATGCTGGCATGATGCTGGTGTGATGTTGGTGTGATGTTGGTGTGATGTTGGTGTGATGCTGGTGTGATGCTGGTGTGATGCTGGTGTGATGCTGGTGTGATGCTGGTATGATGCTGGTGTGATGCTGGTGTGATGCTGGTGTGATGCTGGTATGATGCTGGTGTGATGTTGGTGTGATGTTGGTGTGATGTTGGTGTGATGCTGGTATGATGCTGGTATGATGCTGGTATGATGCTGGTATGATGCTGGTGTGATGCTGGCATGATGCTGGTGTGATGTTGGTGTGATGTTGGTGTGATGTTGGTGTGATGCTGGTGTGATGCTGGTGTGAACAATCTTTCAGCTGATCCTGTGGATGTGTATTTGCTGGCAGCGGGGTGGGGTATACTGTTTGCTGCTAACCCCATTGTAATGCTGCTGTGCATTGCACATTTTGTGATGACGTTTGACTTATACAGAAGGGCCAAGGAGCACCTGGTCGAGAGCCGGTTGTTAGTGAGCAAGAGCAGAAACACATGATGGCGTATGCGTATCGGCGCCAAGAGGAACTCAAGGTACAGCCAAGTTAAGAAGAAGAGAAGCACAAAATGATGCGCTTAGTGATCATTATAGTTTTTTGTGTATGTTTGCCATGGTGTGTGTGCGTGTATGTGTGTGTGCCACGGTGTGTGTGTGTGTGTGTGTGTGTGTGTGTGTGTGTGTGTGTGTGTGTGTGTGTGTGTGCGTGTGCGCATGCATGTGTGTGCTATTGATGTCCTTCCTTACCCAACCGTGACTGCATGTGGCAGCACATGCATGATTTCACACAGTGTACCATTTTGTCTCTTGCGTTGTCACATGTTCTCACTGTGCTGGCTGCTGCTCAGAAACTGGAAGAAGCAAAGGATGACTCCTACATGTCGTCCGACTGGGCTGATCCCAACTCATTGAAGCGAGCCTTCCAAGGTGTCAGCAATGTGTCGTGGAAACCACGGTAACATGTGACGGATGTCAGGACCAAGGGGTTTTCCCCCACCAGCCAGCATTGAACCGAATGCGGCTTTTAATAACTGCGTGGTGTTTGGAGATGTAATGATTGTGGTGTTTGATTAATTCCAGTCGCGGTGTCTCCTCACGCGGCTAACCAACATCGTCACTGACATGTGCTGAGACGTGGTCTGCAGTTAGTGTCACAGTGGCAGTGTGCGGCGGACTAGACAGACGTATACTCCAATGCAAACAAACCATTACTTTCCTGCCACCTCTGCCGGGTCTCCTACAGACCTACACTAGGCTACAGACATACATGATTGTGTGATGTAGCCGGAATTGGCCCGTAACATTCCCAGACTCTCACTGACGGTGTGACTAACTCAACTTACTTGTTTTAATCAAAACAAAGGACTCCGCAGTGCTCGATGGGCAGCTCTGTCCGTAATCCATGCTGCGTGTCACAGTGTATATAGCCATCGTGTTTAGCCGCCGTTGCAGCTGTTATAACTTCTCTTGCTGCATCACAACACGGACAGCCACACGGTCTGCCCGGCCTGTGCCCGGCTATGGTGTACTGTGTGTGTGGCGGGCGCACGGGTGCGTGTGTGTGTGTGTGTGTGACTAAGATATGAACACTGTGGCTGTTTAGCCGCTTTGGCAATCACCTGAACATACTAGTACTGCCTTCTGCCGGGAAACCTTGTTTGTGTTGTATGTATATGGGGTAATGTGGGCGGTATGCTGCTGTGACATACCTGTAATTGGTATACAGGTTATACAATTGATGTAATGATGATGCCGTGGTGATTTCATGGTGGTGAGCCAGCGGATCATTTCAAGCCTATGCAGTTATGTGTGCTGAAGTATAACACCTGAGTTTCCGGAGCTATAGGTGATGCATTTTTTAAAGGATTCTCCGAAAGCAAATGGATGCTTCGCGGCATGGAAGATTTCTACATACATATAGCAAGAAAAACTGGGGAGTGCAGTGTAAAGGGGAAGAGAGGAAGCAGAGGGACTGGGAGAAGGCGGCATGGGAAAAGGGAAAACAAGTACTACATGTAGTAGGTAAAATATCGAGGTATAACAGCAGGAAAGAAATGTCATTATTTTCAACCATGGTATCTGTACTATTTTTCTACTCGGGCACAGCTTATCATCAGTGCGCCTTGTCCCTATCTGATATGGAAAAGGCGCATAAGCTATGCCCGGATGCGTGAACAATTTTGCCTTCTGCCGAGAGATTATGGTGTAAGCCGGTTAGCTAACCACGATTATTTTTTATCAAGAGTACAGACATAACCCCTTTGCACTCCTATTTACTCAATCTGCTGAACCCTTTGTATTATTATTAATTTTTATTAAATTTTGAATAGGGTAATAGGGCATTCCCACAGGCCTAAGGCCTTCTTATGGGGTACCCTATGTGATATAACCAATACGATGGACCGGTACTTCATAGATCTACGTGTCCCAATTATTATACATGTATTTGCTTGAGATCAACCCGGATGAACCCTTGCCCTTGGCACTCGTGAGAGTACGCGCGCACATGTGCAGCACGTGGTAGGTGTGTTCGATTCGAAGTCTCCAATGGACCGACGCAATGCTGCTTGGACAAACAAAGCTACAACATTGTAGCTGTTCTGCACAGTGAGGCTGAGCAGTGAGAAGTGAAGGTCTCTCGTCTGTCCACGGACAAATCGAACGCATACGACACTGGACATGACGTCAACATGTGATTTGTGCAGGTCTGATTTTCCGATTTTTGTGGTGTCTTCGTGGTTGCACGTTGATCGAGGTCGACGTGGCCAGGCCTGCAGGGTAAGTAGTCCAGCCAGCCGACTCAAGGGGAGACTGAGAGTTACTTTCTTGTAGTGTTCGTCTTGCTGGGTTTGGGTGCTGGTTGCGGACACCAAGCCAAAATGACGGTTGTACGTGTTGCTTTCTTGCTACTGGCAATGAGCAGCGTGGCTTATGTAGGTGATGCTGCTGCTGTCATGTCGATTGATTTCGGCTCAGAATTTATCAAAGTTGCAATTGTCAAGCCTGGCGTGCCCATGGAAGTAGCTCTCAACAAGGAGTCCAGGCGGAAAACCCCGAATGTGGTGTCAATGAGGGACGGAGAGAGGCTGTTTGGAGGCCCAGCTGTCAATGTCGGTCTGAGATTTCCCAAGTTTGCATTTCGTTATCTTCTTCACATTCTGGGAGAGCAGTTTGATAGCTCTGCAGTAAAGCAGTACAGTAAGCGGTTTCCCCATTACAAACTTGTGAAAGATGAAGTGCGCGGCACAGCGTGTTTGCAGTACAGTGACACAGAGACTTATTGCGTGGAAGAACTCATTGCAATGATGCTGAACAATTCACGTGAGACGGCGCAGAATTTTGCCGAGCAGGTGGTTAAAGACGTAGTGATCACAGTGCCGGCGTTCTTCAGCCAAGCACAGAGACGCGCTATGATGTACGCTGCCGATTTGGTGGGACTTAATGTCCGCCAGCTGATGAACTCTGGATCGGCAGTGGCGTTGAACTATGGTGTGTTCCGTCAGAAGACCTTCAACGACACGGCACAGCATCTGATGTTTTTCGACATGGGATCAACTAGCACGATCGCGACCATTGTGTCGTATCAGACGGTAAAGAGCAAGGAGCTAGGGTTAACTGAGACCGTTCCTCAGCTCACTGTCCGCTCCGTCGGCTTTGATCGTACTCTCGGTGGTTTGGAAATGGACTTGCGTCTCCGCGACCATCTTGCTACCGTCTTTGACTCGCAGAAGAAGACGTCAGAGAGTGTACGTTCATCTCCCCGCGCCATGGCCAAGTTACTGAAGGAGGCAAATCGTGTCAAGCAAGTACTGAGCGCTAACGTTGATCACATGGCCCAGATCGAGGGACTTCTTCCTGACATTGACTTCCGTGCCAAAGTCACACGAGAGGAGTTTGAGAAGATGTGCGAGGATGTTTTCGCCAGAGTGCAAGCACCTGTTGAGCAGGCACTAAAGGCTGCTGAAATGGATGCATCTGATCTTGAGCAGGTCATTATTGTTGGTGGCGGCTCTCGTGTGCCCAAAGTTCAACAACTCCTTATGGAGGTCACCAAGAAGACCGAGTTGGGCAAGTCTGTGAACAGTGATGAAGCAGCTGCTCTTGGTGCGTCGTATGCTGCTGCCGGCTGGAGCAAGGCATTCCGTATCAAGAAATTCAAAGTGAAGGATTCTAATCTGTACCCGCTAGAAGTGTCCTATGATCGTAAGGCCGACGACGGGAAACTCAAGCACATCACACGGGCATTGTACACCACCGCGAATCTGCCGCCAGTCATGAAACTCATGACCATCAATCACTTCCAAGAGGATTTCCAGTTCGCTGTCGCCTACTGCAATCTGACCCACCTGAGCGAGACACAAGTCGCTCAGCAAGGCTCCAGCAGCGTACTCCGGGTGTCCGTCGGCCAGCTGTCTAACGCCTTTGCCAGTTATACAGCCGACACACACGACACGAAGGGCGTGAAGGTGCACTTCAATCTGGATGCAAGCGGAGTGTTCTCCGTGAACCGAGTTGAGGCTGTTTTTCAGAAGAAAACCAATGCGTCTGAGAACCAACCAAGCACTCTCTCCAACATTGTTGATGGCATTTCCAGTTTCTTCTCCGGATCCAGCAAGACATCTGACAGTGACAGCGATGCAGGTGAAGGACCGAGTGACTCGGCTGATACACCATCCAGCTCATCTTCATCAGCCACCTCTGCTGAGGCGTCCAAAGATGGTTCCAACAGCACTGCCGACTCCTCAAACTCTGCATCATCCAACAACACCAGCAGCACTGAGGCTACTAAGTCACAGAATGCTACCAAGCTGACAACTATCCGTGTTCCACTCAAGTTTTCTGTCCAGTACTTGGACGTTGCCGAGCAATCAGAGTCGGTGAGGGAGGCCTCGCTCAAACGTCTTCAAGACATGGCCGCTAGAGACCTCGAGAAAGTGCTTCTTGAGGCAGCCAAGAACGCACTGGAAGCGTTCATTTTCGACATGCAGGATAAACTAACCACCGATGTGTACACCGAGGCATCAGTGGACGAGGAGAGAACGAGTGCGACCACTGCCCTGTCGGCTGCTTCCGAGTGGCTGTATGAGGAGGGCGAAGATGCCACTAGGGATATCTACGATTCTAAACTAAGCGACCTGAAGAAGCTAACAACTCAGATTGTTTATCGCGTTACCGAGCATCGTGACCGGCCGGAGCAGGTCAAGAAACTCCGCAGCCTGCTGAACGTATCGTATCACTTTGCTGCTGAAGCACATAACCAGACGAAGCCAGCAGCTGGCTATGTTGACAGCTTGTACACCATGGTTGAAGTGGACACACTCGACAAGCTTATCAATAGCACTGAGAAGTGGTTGAATGAGAGCGAAGCAGAGCAGGCAACGCTGAAGAAGTCCTCCGATCCCATTCTCACCTTGCAGGCTATTGCAGACAAAATGAATGCGCTTGCCCGTGAAGCCAGTTACCTGAACAACAAAGCAAAGTACTTTGTGCCCACAAAGAAGAAGGTACGCTCAAAGTCCAAGACGCCGAACTCCACCAACACCACCACGGCTAATTCAACAACAGCTGATGCAGACAGTGGCAAGGAGAGTGCAGACAAGGACACAGCACAGGATGATGCAACATCTGAATCAAGCTCTGCCAACAAGAAATCTACTAGCGATAGCAAGGGAAAGAGTGATGATGAAACGGATCAGACATCTTCATCTTCGACGGAAGAGCCTGCTGATGATGCAAAGTCGAGCTCAGATCATTCCGAACTCTAGAAGTGACATTGTCCTGTGGGGCCGTGTGTGTGTGTGTGTACGTGTGTGTGTACGTGTGTGTGTGTGTGTCGGTGTGTGTGTGTGTCGGTGTGTGTGTACGTGTGTATGTGTGTGTGTGTATGTGTGTGCGTATGTGTGTGTGTCAGTGTCGGTGGTGGGAGGATGAAGTAGACGATGTCGCTTTGGTCAGTGCATCGTCTGCTGCTGCTGTTCGTGTGAACGGTTGAGACAGTAGATTGCTGGTGTAACTGTTTGCCACACTACCAACACCAGCACCCATGTGCTATTATGCAAGTACAGTTGCAGCAGCCACAGCAACAGCCAGCAGTACATCTACTCAGCTTTGCTACCTGCACTCAAGCTATATACGTAACCACCACCCACTCTCTCGCTATCTGCAGTCATTGCTACAGTGTACATTGCCATGTGGACAGTGTACATTGCCATGTGGACAGTGTACATTGCCATGTGGACAGTGTACATTGCCATGTGGACAGTGTACATTGCCATATGGACAGGACCATACCATGCCGTATTGTGCTGATGTATAGTGTCATTACGATGTCATCGCAACGATTTGCTGACTACACGTACCTGATGCGTCCGAGAACAGCATCATAAAAACTAAAATCTCACAGTGTAACCATGCATATAATATTCTGCTGTGTTAACCCAGGCTACATGTTGATGACTAGATCTATTATGCTTGCAGGCACTGCTGTCATCGTCATTACCGGTATTTGCAGGCACTGCCGTCATCGTCATTACCGGTATTTGCAGGCACTGCTGTCATCGTCATTACCGGTATTTGCAGGCACTGCTGTCATCGTCATTACCGGTATTTGCAGGCACTGCCGTCATCGTCATTACCGGTATTTGCAGGCACTGCCGTCGTCGTCATTATTTATCAACTTGCTTTTACAGTGTATACCAGAGACAATTGAAAGAGAAACTGCTTTTATTAATTATCCATGTTGTAGTGAGAGTATCATACAACACATTTCAGCGCAATCATAGTATTGACCATGCCTGTTACATAGTATTGAGTAGTATTGAGTAGTATTGACCATGCCTGTTGACCATGCCTGTTAGTCTGGTTACTGTAACAGTTCTGTCTCGGGATGAGCTGCTATTTGTCCTCCCAGATCGAGTTGACGAGTTCATCCAGGCACAGTATTTAAACTCGTGCGAGCGCACGCGCGCGCGCGTGTGTGTGTGTACATGCAATTGTGTGTGTTGCACTCAGTTGAGCTACAAGTGATGAGTTCTGTTCCATGCAATTATTTCCACCCTGGTGAATAGCTATAGCTCCACACTTGTAAACACGACCCTGATTAGGTATCGGCTGGTAGAACACCATAAACCTATACCCCTGATTAGGTATAGGCTGGTAGAACACCATAAGCCTATACCCCTGATTAGGTATAGGCTGGTAGAACACCATAAGCCTATACAGTCCTGCATATAATGCATGTATGTAGTCAAGCAGGCTGTGGTCACCAGCCTCGGGAGAGCCGAAGCACTTATCCGGATGCCGGGCTTGGTACACTCTAGATGTGTGGGGATTGGGTGCTTGTACTTCCTGAAGTACTTCAAAGTATGAGCAAGAGTATATACACGGGGGCCGGGTTATGTACTCTTGGTATCAGGGAGTCGTAAAATACCGGTATTTTACGACTCCCTGCTTGGTATGATTGCAGTGCTACTTGATGACATTTATTTATTTTATTTTATTCCAAGCAATACATGGCTGGGGTAGCCAATGACCACTTTGCGTGGCGATTGCAGGGTTTTTCTAGCCAAAATCCGATCGAGTGAGTCCAGCTAGCGCCCTGCACCAACAATGAACATCCCAGTACTGCAGTGTTCACAGGTCTTGGACTGCACAGCTAGCGCCCGACCAGCGTGGCATCAACTTGATCGGATTTCACTGGGCAGCACTATAGTAGCACTGTGTAGCATTTGGACATTCCGTCCAGCAGATGACATCGCAATGACATCGTGCACGTTGTCTCCTGTACACTTGGAAGTAGGATTGTTTGTCGCATCACTGCAGTACTTTGCGACCAACTCAAAATCAAATAACATACAAACCAAAATAGTACAAAGGGCGCGAGCGGGGGATTCGTGCCAGCAGAAAATACTTGTGGTAAAAAAGCTTCTAACTTTGAAGAAATAAAGTACATTTCAATAGTACAACACAATACATGTTGTATGTGTGTGTGTGTGGGGGGGGGGGGTCTTGCCTAGCTATCAAACGACACGCATTAGAATGTTGCTCATCAGCAGCATTATGGTAAAGAGGTTTGCATGAAGCGGGAAGACGGAAAGAGCACTTTCATAGCAGCTTAGTGCAGGGCCAGCCGTAAAATTGAGAAAAAGAAAAGAAGAAGAAAGAATCTCATGTGTCCACGGTGCAGGGCAAGGCTCAGTAACACACAGCAATGCTTCAAGTGCTGGTAGTGGTAGGGGTGAGTGGTCTTACACTCTTCATGCCGTAACCAGTCTCAAACATGACAAGTAGTAACAGCGTTCCCCCCTGTCATCTCCACTGCAATACTCTCTCACACACAGCGGTACCATGGCCACCAGCCTGACAAAGACATACTGACACAGCTGCTATGACAGTTCTAGCCGTGTGCAAACAGCCAGGGCTAGCCTACAGGGCTAGCCAGCCAGCCAGTCAGCCAGTCAGCACTGCTATTGCACTAGCACGACTATAGCGACGGTATAGGCAGGTCTTCAGACTTCAGTCAGCATATACACATAGCGTAGCGCAAGCAGAGCAGCAGCAGTCAGTAGCAGGAAGTCATAAAATACCGGCATTTTATGACTCTGCACACTGCATACAGTGCATATCAGTAGCAACAACACCACCAGCATGATGGCATCGTGCATCAACAGTGCAACGTCGTTGTATTCAAGGATGCATGATGTAATCAGTGACTAATCACATTCAGAGAGATGATGTCATGGGTGCTGATTGCGGTGCTGGAGCGCTCAGATCTTCTTTCTCTTGCCACATGGTTCTACCGGTGCACGCACACACTTTCTTATCGTTCTCGAACAGGCCAGCCGAACGTGCTATGATGCCACATGCAACTCTGCAGTGACATGCAGTGACATGCAGAGTATAGAAAATACATGTACAGTCAGACCTCGCTTATCCGGTCCTCTTTTATCCGGATCCCTCACCATCCGGAAGAAAATCGTTGGTTACCGATTTACAGCACATGCCATGCATACATACAGTATGTGTGTTCGATTACTAGTATCCTGTTCCCTCGCCTTTCCGGATATTATTTGTAGAAAACGGATGTGTGCGGTTATGCGAGGTCTGACTGTACGAAAAAATCTTGGAATCTCAGCGTCCAAAAGACTACAACATCTGGGCCAATCGCGGTCATCCGTGCTTTTATAAGAACAAAATGGCGCTTTTAGTGAGATTTTGCATACAAATCCCCAGGGAGCGTCTCAGCTTCCTCGGACCAAGACCATTCGACTCAGCACCCCGAAGACTAAAACTGGTGAAATTTTGATTTTAGGCTTAACTTCCCCTTTTACAAGAGACTCGACAGTACTTCACTTGGCAAACAAAGCAAGGCTGACAAGGGGATGGCTATCTAATATCTAACCTGACGGTGGATTTGTACGCCGGCGAATAGTCGTCTTCTACGCCATCCACTACGATGGTGCGTCCAATCACATCCCAGACCTGAAGGCAGACACACAGACAGACAGACAGACAGATGTATGAGCTATGCACGCTTATTGGGTCGCTCGTGATCGACACGTGTACATATCTGCTATATCGTTCTTTCACCCATTGGCACATCACATTCAAATACACAAGCACACACAAGAACACACACACAAGCACACACAAGAACACACACACACACACAAGAACACACACACAAGCACACACAAGAACACACACACAAGCACACACAAGAACGCACACACAAGCACACACAACAACATACACACGAGGCATACCTTGACAACTTTCTCTTCGAGACGGAAGATGGCGCGGCCCGATGCGTCTGCTTCTACGTTACCCAAGTCACCAACATGCTATACAAGATACACATGCACATACGCATGCACAAACACACATGCACGCGCGCGCAGCGCACATACAAGCACATCCAGCAGAGCTGAGCATGAGAAGCCTACCCTACAACAACACAATAACAAGTAAAGTGAGCAGACACAGCAGAGAGCAATACACAACATAGTGAGCAGACACAGCAGAGAGCAATACACAACATAGTGAGCAGACACAGCAGAGAGCAATACACAACATAATGAGCAGACACAGCAGAGAGCAATACACAACATAGTGAGCAGACACAGCAGAGAGCAATACACAACATTCGCCTAACAGTTAGTAGAGCAACTAACCCGATCTTCAGCTTCTGGAGGTCCATGCGGTCGCTGGTAAGGATTGAAGTGGTCACCGACACTATGGTTCACAATGTACACAAGTCAAAGAGAACGAGAAAGAGAGAGAGAGAGAGAGACAGAAGTAAAAATAGGCCACACTTGATTACACCGCCAGCTGAGGCATTTAACCATGAGTACGGTATCTGGCAAGCTATGCAATGACTCTTGTTACATTCATGTTTCAGATTAGACTGAGTTGAAACACACCATTCTCAAACAGAGGACCGTGCTACAGGGCATGGCTGGTTAAAAAAAAATACCAGTCTGATTCATTGTCTGTGAAAGCGAAAATACTCGTCAAAGGATTTAAATTATTCTCTACAGGGAAGGTAGCATTCTCTCACTCCCACCCACATTTTCTCTCTCCCTCCCTCCCTCCCTCCCTCCCTCTCTCTCTCTCTCTCTCTCTCTCTCTCTCTCTCTCTCTCTCTCTCTCTCTCTCTCTCTCTCTCTCTCTCTCTCTCTCTCTCTCTCTCTCTCTCTCTCTCTCTCTCTCTCTCTCTCTCTCACACACACACACACACACACACACAGACACAGACACACACACATATGCCCGGCACTATCAGCAATCCTCTCTAGTCTCTACCTTTCGCAGCCTTGAGAGATGTCACCGTATTCGTGTATGTGTATGCCATGCTTTCCTGGACTCAGTCCATCCACAGTGCCTTCTAAGATACATTTATCATCTTCAACCTAAACCAACCCCAGAGACAACAACAGCAGTGGCAGCATCAGTAGCGAAAGCAGCCATAGCAACAGCAGCAGCAGCAATAACAACATGTATAAGCACAAGAAAGAATTTATACTTGCAAGTAGTCACCTTTATAGTCACCTCACCGCAATCATCTCAACTTTTAAAGTGAGTAAGTCCAGAGGTGAGCCCCAGCCTCTATTCCAGCCTCTATTCCAGCCTCTATTCCAGCCTCTATTCCAGCCTCTATTCCAGCCTCTATTCCAGCCTCTATTCCAGCCTCTATTCCAGCCTCTATTCCAGCCTCTATTCCAGCCTCTATTCCAGCCTCTATTCCAGCCTCTATTCCAGCCTCTATTCCAGCCTCTATTCCAGCCTCTATTCCAGCCTCTATTCCAGCCTCTATTCCAGCCTCTATTCCAGCCTCTATTCCAGCCTCTATTCCAGCCTCTATTCCAGCCTCTATTCCAGCCTCTATTCCAGCCTCTATTCCAGCCTCTATTCCAGCCTCTATTCCAGCCTCTATTCCAGCCTCTATTCCAGCCTCTATTCCAGCCTCTATTCCAGCCTCTATTCCAGCCTCTATTCCAGCCTCTATTCCAGCCTCTATTCCAGCCTCTATTCCAGCCTCTATTCCAGCCTCTATTCCAGCCTCTATTCCAGCCTCTATTCCAGCCTCTATTCCAGCCTCTATTCCAGCCTCTATTCCAGCCTCTATTCCAGCCTCTATTCCAGCCTCTATTCCAGCCTCTATTCCAGCCTCTATTCCAGCCTCTATTCCAGCCTCTATTCCAGCCTCTATTCCAGCCTCTATTCCAGCCTCTATTCCAGCCTCTATTCCAGCCTCTATTCCAGCCTCTATTCCAGCCTCTATTCCAGCCTCTATTCCAGCCTCTATTCCAGCCTCTATTCCAGCCTCTATTCCAGCCTCTATTCCAGCCTCTATTCCAGCCTCTATTCCAGCCTCTATTCCAGCCTCTATTCCAGCCTCTATTCCAGCCTCTATTCCAGCCTCTATTCCAGCCTCTATTCCAGCCTCTATTCCAGCCTCTATTCCAGCCTCTATTCCAGCGTCTTTCCAAGAACTTGCTGCGCATTCCAGTAGGTAACTTTGACATGTGCAAACAGCCATATCAGCAGTGGTCGAATGTTTCCATCAAAATTGTCAGACACTGTCACAATGCCAGCGGAGAGGTGGTTGACATCTCAGGGTATGCACTAAAATCACCAGTATACAAACATGTGTTAGTGGAACGCTAGAGCTTTGACGCGAACCTTGTGATTAGCGTGTTTTCCTGAGATTAGCGTGTTTTCCTGAGTGATTACCGTGTTTTCCTGAGTATAAGCGGCACATTAAACACCAGTACTTCACCAAACAAAGTATTATACTACCATGGTGTGAAATTAACCATGATAAAGTATTATACTACCATGGTGTGAAATTAACCATGATAAACGGTGTAGATGGCTGTATTTCGTAACAAAAAAAAACTGGATGCGGCTTATAGTCCAGAAAACATGGTATTCCTTTTTCTATATCCGTGTTGTTAACTAACCTGTGTGAATCTTGCTAGTCCAGTGACACCACTTCTGCCTAGCATGATAGCCACAGCGGCACCAAGATGTTGCGCACCTGCATATGAACACATGCGCGCACACGTACACACACACACACACACACACACATGCACGCATCCACACATATACATACAAATACACACACGAATACACACACACACACACACACACACACGGACACATACGGGCACACACGGATACACACACACAGGCACACACACACACACGGACACAGACACATCAAGTCCCCACAAGGCCATCATGTGGACACCGGAAAAACAAAACAAACAACGCACACGGTGGAGTGAAAATAGCAACATGTATTTGTTCAAACCTCTCCTTTCCACACCAGCGTTGTCCCAAAGACACAGTACACACACATTGCATACCTTACCTACGGAAGCAGCTGTTGCCACAGGACCTTGTCCCCTCACCAACACCGACCGGCCGGATGACTCAAGCAGTGACTGAACCTTAGCTGTCGGCAACGTACTAGTTACTACAACACGTTCGTTTTGTAAGTCTACATCCACACCTTGCACTCCTGTCATCAACCATACAACACACAAGAAGAAGACAAGGTCAAGACAACAACAACAACAAAAACAGCACCACGGAATTACTCGAAGTCGGCCAAGATGAGGAACGTGGAAGCCAGAGGATCTAGGAAGGGGTGATTTTCTTAACCTCACTCTACGTGTAGGGTCACATGTGACAGGTTTACTAGTGCATCACTGCCCACAAGGCAAAACAGGAAGAGTCCCGACATCAACAAAGCATTGGTGGTTCAGTGGTAGAATTCTCGCCTGCCACGCGGGGGGGGGGGGATGGGCCCGGGTTCGATTCCTGGCCAATGCATTTTTGTTCAAGTTTCATATTCCATGTACCGGCAAGAGTCCATAACCCCCCAGAGTGTGCAACTCGTGATCCTTCTCAGCACAAATCAGTGCCGCAACGAAATCCAAACTTCATACGTCATGTAGTGAGTAGCGGATGTACCAGATATGCACATGGCCCCATCCGCCCATGCTTGACTATGGACCGGATGACGCAATGTTTGGATTTCGTTGCGCCAGACCCCAACCTGGAGTTGCACACTCTGGGGGGTTATGGACTCTTGGTACCGGGTACAAGTCTCAACAAAACGAAAATGGCATCACAAGACTACTCGAAAGTCTGCCAAGGTGAAGACGGGCATCATCTTGTTCTTCATCAGAAATGCTCGATAATTTTCGCACTAAACGTTACGTCAATCAAGCTGTACTCCCTAAGCCAATGATGGAGGAGTCTGCAGTCCGGCACTTTCCTTGTCAGAAAACAAGAACTCGATCCACAGAAACATTTCGAGTTGTCCGTCAAGGTTTACTGTGCTGACCGAAATCGGCAGCAGTAACAAAGAGTCCAGGTAAAACAAACCTGTTCAGGCAACCACATTGGACTGTACGACCTCTGCTCTTTAGTGCCGTGTGTGTGTGTGTGTGTGTGTGTGTACGTGTGTGTATGTGTGTGTACGTGTGTGCGTGTGCATGCATACGCGTGGAATATGCAATGATCCATCTGGTTTCAGAGACTACCCGCGGTCAAAGAGCGTGATAGGCCAGTGTCCTGGGTGGTGACTAAAGCCACTCACTGGCACGTTACACCTGTTCAGCAATACTGACCGGGACATGTAGCTTTAGTCACACCAGTCCTGTTGCTCTTGGTCTAGCATATCACTAGCAGCAGCAGTTATAGCGCTCAAAGAGGACAATACAGGATGGTGGAACATTGAACTGTATTGTTCATTTACGGATTCTCCGAGGTAAATGGATAGGTATCTTGGGAGTCTCTCCAAACCAATAGACGATGAAAATAAAATTATGTAGGGTGGGCATGGATAAAACTAAAATACCTAAAATAACATGAAGCGGTGCCGATTAATATCCGTTCCTTGGCGTCTTGTTCGAGGCGTGCTGGGCCAGGACTGATCACTGTATGATCACATTTGGTATCGCTGGCCGGAACTGTGATAGAACTCAGCAAGTCACGACCACAATCACATGCTGCAAAGATCATCATATTATCACGTGGAACTATCACATTGAGGGTCAAGCTGCACTTCGCTACGGGCGCTATGGCCTTTGTGTTGGCTCCCTACAGATCAGTGACAGGCTTAGGGGGGGGGGGGGGGGGGGGGGGTGCGCGGGGGGTACCCCCCCTCAAAAGTTTCGACCTAGGTTTCGAAAAAATAAAAGGCAGGGCTGGGGGCGCGCGCGGCCTGAAACGATCGTCCAAAAGCGGTTGCACGGTACGGTGCTCGAGCTGGTGTTGATTGTACACACTACAGAGAAGCAGTGAGCATGCACGGCTACAGAAACACGATGACCTGACTGTGTACACTGTTGTACAGTGTGATCCCTGCTGGGAGGCGCTCGACGCGTCTTGAGACTTCTTTCCGCAACTTTCAAGTTTGCACAACGATGTTTTGAGGTCGAGGATGATCGCCTGAGCCCTCGGCATTCGAATCGTGTTTTGGTTGACTCGAAGACTTTTCTTCCACGTCTCAGCGACATCCCAAAAGGCCAAGCTCTAGCCAGCAGAGCCTGGATGGATTTTTTGCAAAGCGTTCCTGTGGCGGCGCAATTCCTGCTGCCGCTCCAACAGGAAACAGTGGGAGTGATGAAGTCGCTGTTATTCCAATTGAACTTTCGGAGCCGACTGACAGTCACACTCCGCCAGACGTGGAAGCACCTGTTGTCAGCGAGCAGCCAGAACATGAAGAACAGCGCACAGTGACAAGTTGACATAGTACCGCTGCCTATGTAAAGGATGCTTTGAGCGGTGAGAAATTGTTGGACTCGCATAAATTGCAGTTGATAATGGCTGACCTGGGACAGTAGCATGATGTCATCTACCCCCACCCCATCCCGGCCCGGCCGCAACCCCCCCCCCCCCCCCCCTCAGCCAAATCCTGGACACGCCACTGCAGATGTCAGGAGCCTCAGGACTCCCTGATTACCATGATTACCTGCATGTGCCAGGATGTCTTGGCACTACCAGAAGTCTACTATCATCATCCAAGCATTGGTGGTTCAGTGGTAGAATCCTCGCCTGCCACGCGGGGGGCCCGGGTTCGATTCCCGGCCAATGCATTTTTGTTTCAAATTTTCATTCCTCCAACCTTTCCATCTGCACTCTACTTGTAATACATGTATGTATGTTGTAACTTCTCAAAGACATAGCTTTGGAAATCTTATTTTTCATTGCAATCAGATTCGGCCTCATTTCCTCTGTGCTGCGCTGATGAGTCCATAAAGGACGAAACAGTTCTGTGCGCAGATTGAGTGCATACATAGTATACTCAGACAAAGATGACAAAGATGACTCTTTCTTTGCTCCCCACAGGATGCCTTATCATCAGGACTAAAATACAGGGCACTTCTCAGCGTAAATTAGCTGAAAACCAGGCATAACTTACCGTCAATATCTCGCAGTGAGTTCTTAACGGCTGCTACACATGACTGGCAGGTCATTTTCACCGCAAACTCAACCTAACACAATAGAACACAATGCAGAGAAGACCACACAGCATGCACAGTCAGCCGTAGAGTCCGGGCAGCACGTCTTCCGTGTAGAATACCACAATACTTGTACAAAGAATGGCTTCTGCATCCTAGTGCATGTGAGCCGCTCATTTACAGCCAGATAGACAGACAGACATGAGGGCACATGGGAGTGTCCAAATTGCAAAACACATTAAAACTTATACAAAAGAAAAATTACCAAGGAACTACAAGTTACGCTATACTGTCCACTAACACCACCAGTCACTGAACAATCAGCTCATGCCATAACTTTGCACGACACTGACCGACGGTACTGACGTTCTACAACTAACCTCCTTATGTTATTTCTATAACTTAGAACCTTCCAAGTTGGAAGGCTGTTGGAGTGCGCATCCAAGATGTGCTAGAGCTGTTAGCCAGTTAGTTGTAGAACGTCAGTACCGTCGGTCAGTGTCATGCAATGTTATCGCATGAGCTGATTGTTTAGTAACTGGTGGTGTTAGTGGACAGTATAGCGTAACTTGTAGTTCCTTGGTCCTTCTCTTTTGTATAAATTGAACCTTGGCTCTCCATCTGAGTACATTAAAACTTGACTATTAAAGTAGTCGGGACAGAAATAATTGTCCGGGATTCGTCTAGATAATGATGTACTCGAAGTTAACACAGGTGCAAGAACAGGACCTAAGGGACACGCCACATTCGACATAACAGGGGTCACGGGGTGGCGGAGCCGGTCCGGTTGCTCAGGCCATGGCCGGACCAATTGGTTGGCCACCAACGTGTGTTTAATGTTTACTGCTGAGGTACATTTAGTATAGTTTTATTGTTTTTATTCTTATTGTACTAGGGAATTCCCAACAGGTGTCATCGCCTTTATACAGGGAACCCTGAGGTCACGTGTGTGCTCACCTTATCATACACAAACTGTATGAAGGATTGTGGTACGGCCGGGCCAATCAAAACTGCTTCTGCAGGTCCTGTAGAAACGTGGCCAAGTTCCAGGCATGGGTTCTCTAAATTCGAGCGGCAGAGAAGTTTCCCGGCCGAGGATTTTTCCCGCGAACATTCTATATTGAAGCCGCGTTTGGTTTGATGGCAACACAGTCACCGAGACCAAAACGTTTGACTAGTCAAAGTTGTGAGATTGCAGCGTGATGGAGTGTTGATCAGGGCTGCCGTCAAATCATCTTCATTACAATGAAACCGTGTGAAGCTGTGTTACCTGGTTACATTGCACCCTTAGAGGCCGACCTAGCAGTGTGCAAAGTGCCACATGACTAAGAGATGCCAATGGCCCAATAGGGCTTGAAAGTGATGACGTCAAAACGGCCAGGGAGTAGTAAGTTGACATCAGATTTCTATTTTTGGATCCACTAAGGTGTGACTTTGCTATTGCCTAAGTATGTGGGTGCATAGCAACCCACTCATGTCGCATGCAGGTGTGACTTTTATTTCGCCACCAGTTGTAACCCCGCCCCCAGTAGCCAAATCAGTCAGTTTCACTGGCTACATCACCATGCGGTGAGTAAGACCGCTTGAAATGCGCTTGGATCCATACAAAAACTGGATCCAAGTGGATCCAGTTTTTGAATTTTTGAAATTGTTGCTATGCTGTGACGTAGCACTTTCAAGCCCTATACTGCTCCTAAACTTCTTATGCTAGTAGTAGTAAACCTTACAACCCTTGTTCAAAAGCGAAGAAGAATGCAAAGAAAATAGAAGGATCTCCGGTGAAATTTCTTCCAAATTGTGGGAAACCCTCCTCTTTCGAAAATGTATGTAGAAAATGAGTAGCGCTGTAGAGACTTTGTCTTATTCTTATCGACTCTAATAACTATAGCATTCTTATTGGTAAAAGTTCGGAATTTGTTCAATGTTTTATATGTCCTCGATCGCAGTGCATGTATGATTATTTCATTGATCAAGTGGGCTAAACAAACGTGACCTTTCGAGAAAACATTGATACCCGTGGCATGTTTCATACTACCAACTTCATTTGGTAAAGGTAGCGATGTGTACAGCAGAATCAGTCGTACTCGTTACGTAGATCTACTCTCACCTTTGTGGGCGTCGACATCGTTCAAAATTACCACCAATACAAGCACAAATTCACGTCTTATTTTTTCAATCTTCCGGACTAAGGTGCGGACAGACTAGACACACTTCCAAAGGCGAATGGATGCTCATAAAGCAAGGGCTATGTTGAATATGATGAGAGAGATACTCGAAACAGAGGAAGGGACCAGCCAGAGAAAAACAACTCCTCAATCCTCATGTCCTGTTGATATCTACAGTGCTATGTAGTATTCTAGATGTTGGTGTTCGTTCGAACTCTGGCTTTGTAGAGTTGAATCAATGACATCATTATGATCATGCTAGAGAAGATTTGAATGTTTGTGTTTTGCATGCAAAATCACAACGTTTGAAATATTTTCTCCCTACAAGTAGTGATCATGGTGATGTAGTATTCATCGTCCTGCCAAAATGAAGTGTGCTTTATCAGTGCCAGTGGGATGAGGCGAACAGGTCCTCTGAGCCAGCTGCCTTCTCCATCCTGTTGAGTGTGAACACGGAGATGCACGACTGACGTGGTTTGGCTGCGTAGCACGTGTGTAGGAGTTCATCATAGTTGGAGAGACAGAAACAAAATGCAGCGGTGTGTTCCCCATGGTCGTGTAGGGGGTGCCGCTCAGCTGCGTATACAGTATCGATCATTATGTGCTACGCTGTCTGAGAAATTTGTACCTACTTCTCCGCACATACTCACCAAGGCAGATGTCCACTCGCTAGAGGAGTTCATCAGAAATTCCAGAAAGCTGTTCATCCTGACCGGGGCAGGCTTGTCTACAGAGTCCGGAATTCCAGACTATCGGTCGACCGGTGTCGGAATGTACGCAACAAGCAAGCAGAGGCCAATACAGTACTCGGAATTTGTAAAGAACACAGAAGCTCGGCGTCGCTACTGGGCACGGAATTACGCAGGTTGGCCAAGCTTTTCCAGCAGGCAGCCAAACCTGGGGCATATGTTCCTTTCGGAGTTGGAGCGTCGTGATATGCTGCACTGGTTGGTCACACAGAACGTTGATCGCTTGCACCGCAAAGCCGGCTCATCGCGTGTAAGTGAGCTACACGGATCTACTCACGACATCATCTGTCTGCAGTGCAAAGCAATGACGTATCGCTCTGACCTGCAAATACGCATGGCCGAGATGAATCCGCAATTTCACGACAGACGAGAAGACGAAAACACAGTGCGACCCGACGGTGATGTACATTTTGAAACCGACGCCTGGAAGAGTTTTCACATTCCCGACTGTCAGCTTTGCGGTGGTATGCTGAAGCCGAATGTTGTGTTTTTTGGTGACGTTGTCCCTCGCCCGTTGGTTACAGACATATATGAGAAGTTAGGCGAATGTGATGCGATGCTTGTGATTGGCTCATCGCTAGAAGTTTACTCCAGTTATCGGTTTGCCCTTGCTGCTGCTGAGCAGTCTATTCCAATGTGTTTACTGAACATTGGGTCTACACGAGCTGACCACCTTGCCTCCATGCATATCCACGCTCGCTGCGGCGAGACCATGAAGCAATTGAGTCAAGTGCTGTTTGGCGATGTGTATTGGCTGAGCAATGTGTAGGTGAACGATTGAGTTATGCCTCTAATTATACCGAACCTCGACTCACGTGTAGAGATCAGTCTTTTTGAATTCTTTAGTCTTCTAGTAGCTACATGTACTGTGTATCAGGCACTTTTAGTGGCAGAATTTTACTATGTAGGGTAAATTTGAAACTCTTGTTATATCTCTATTTTGAGCTTATTCCATCACGTCCTAATCCTATTTCATCCTCACAATGTTCTGCAGGTTCAGAAATTGTGCTTTCTGTTATATTATGAGAATGTTATTCACACTTGGCAATACAGTATGCTGAGTCACCATGCCTCATGAGTGCACAGCATTGTACATTACCTGATTACTCTGAGTTCATCCATGATACCCTTGTGTGTGCGGAGTTTGTAATGGACTTTTCCCACTACATACTTGATGTAAGTGTATGCCATGCTACCACATGTTAGGTGTTGTGGCCAGCTCATTCTGCATGATCGGCAGACCTGGGTAACAAACTGTTCGCAGGGAGGCTTTCGACAGCTGCACCTGCCTCTGCAGAGGACGGACACTAGCAAGGGTCAGGTATAGTATCTGGCGAAGTGTTCATTGTATATTGTGCTCATTATCTTGACATACAAGACATTCTGTATTCAAAAGCTAATATTCTGACGTCACCTAAATACTCATGACGTAACAACAGAAAGTCATTTGAACCATTCTACTTGTTTGAAAAAAGTATTAATACAATCATTGGCTTTGCAATTTTCTTCGGAGAACATTGCTGACCACAGGTTCTGTATTTTTAATCCCTTCTCTCTCGCGCAGGAGCTGGCATTACATTTAATTTTTCCCCAACGATACCGGTTTGTTGGTCAGATATCCGAAAATGAGTGAGCTGCTTGTCCTTGAAAACTTCATCAATGGTGAATTTGTAGCCTGCGATACCCACATAGACAACTACGACCCGTCGTGTGGAGCGGTGTACGGCAAGGTACATGCACAATCATGTTGGATCAATGTCATAATGATTATTGCACATTGGAGTGTGTACTGACCCAGAAGGGTCCAGATTCACATAATATCTCTCCAAAAAATGCAAAATACATTTTCAAATTCCAACCACATGCACAACAGTAACGAATTGAGATCTGCTTGTATGAAGTGTTGTGCTAGGTGGACCGTATCGTAATGTACTGTTCCCTCTGGTGACAGAATTCATTCTGTCTGCCATACACTACAATCCACCTTACATAATCATACACCGTGTTTAGCATGAGTAAATAATCTGACCCACAGATACCGTGTATGTGACCTGGTGACCTAGCACCTGGAATCTGGATCATTTCCAAGAGTGTATGTGTCATTATTTGAGGGAGTTGAAAAGGGATTTAGTAAATTCCTTTTATGTTGATTCTCTTCTCCGGATGATAGCGTCGCAACCTGCGTTGCACCTTATAACATAACTTTTGAGTAACGTAAAGGGTGTGTTTGCGTGCACCGGAATTCAGTTCTCTGGTGTGTGTGTGTGTGTGTGTGTGTGTGTGTGCGTGTGTGTGTGTATGCGTATGTGTGTGTGTGTGTGTGTGTGTGTGTGTGTGTGTGTGTGTGTGTGTGTGTGTGTGTGTGTGTGTGTGTGTGTGTGCATGTTGTGTGTGATACAGGTACCGAACAGTTCTGCAGATACCGTGAGCGCAGCTGTTGCAGGGGCGAAGGATGCGTTCAAATCGTATGTTCCCCGATTCCTTGCCAGCCCCTCAATCAGCCCCTCAGTCAGCCCCTCAATCAGCCCCTCAACCAGCCCCTCAGTCTGCCCCTCAGTCAACCCCTCAGTCAGCTCCTCTGCAGGACTTGATAGTGTAACATCACAGTATGCTGGGGAGTCCCAATACAGTGCTGCCGGGCGCCGAAGAACGACCAGACTAGAATTTCACCAAGTACAGCATACCAATATATATATACAGTCAAATCTGCCGTTAGCGACCTCTGCTGTAGGCGACCATCTACCGTTAGCGACCGATTTTCCGTGCACCGACGGTTTCACATACAAACTGATCTGTCCAGAGCGACCATCTGCTGTGCGCGACCAGCGACCGCGATTTCATGCACGGTGGCTGCATTCAAATCTGCTGTAAGCGACCGCGATCCAGGTTCAGTAAGGTGCGAAACTGTACTTGCCAGTGCGTTGTCAACTGAAAAGTGTGAAAATGCGCTGTCTTGCAAGTGCGATCGACTGGCGCCTGGCCTGTACTGAGGCTGTGCAGTAGCTCTCAAGTCCAGGCAGTGTCGATCTACTGCCGTGTCGCATACGCGTACTATACGGGTATGGTCGTCGTTGAATATCCAATAAAATGATATTAAAAATCACATTATTCTCGTCGATTTGAGTACATGGAAGCATATACCTGGTATGCCGGATTTACCATACATCTGCCGTAAGAGACCATCTGCCGTAAGCGACCGCTTTTTCTTGCACCAAGGGGCGGTCGCATACAACAGATTTGACTGTATATATGCGGTGACTCAACTGTGTATTGATAGACTGCTGTACATGAAGATAAGAACGGTGTAGAGGCTACGAGGAGGCTGACCCACACCCCCCCCCCCCCACACCCCACCCCAGTTCTTCGGCACCCGACAGTTCTGTATTTCAGTTAGAAATAGATAGGTTGAACCGTTCAGTACAGTCAGCTATGCATGTGTTGTCTTCTCCACTACTCTCCACTATTGTCCACGTTGTGCTATGTGCTATTGCCGTATGTACGATTGGTGTGCGCAATGTTCCCTTGTTCTCGTTGTGTTGTCACAGGTGGTCTCGCACTTCACCTGACCAACGAGCCACTGTCCTGAGGAAAATAGCGGATGGCATTGAGGCACGTCTGCAGGAGTTCGCCGAGGCCGAATCCCGTGACCAGGGCAAGCCAATCTGGTTGGCTAAAGCTGTTGATATACCTCGGGCCGTCTACAACTTCCGCTTTTTTGCCTCAACCATCACCCACCAGATTAACACGTATGTCAGCTTATTTTTTAACCATTGCTGATACTTATGTAATTATGTTGCTTCTACCACTGCTTTCTGGTTCTGTCGCAACTCAAGGTGGCAACAGTCTTGTGTCATCATGAATTGCTCATCCAGTAAATCTCCTTCATCAGCAAATGCTCACATACCGGTAGTTTCAATGTTTTCTGAGTCTGCCTGTCTTTGCCTGCCCATGTCTCACCCACTCAATCTCTCTCTCTCTCTCTCTCTCTCTCTCTCTCTCTCTCTCTCTCTCTCTCTCTCTCTCTCTCTCTCTCTCTCTCTCTCTCTCTCTCTCTTACTCTCCCTCCCTCCCTCCCCCCTTCTCTCCGTAGATCTACTGTTCAGCCGCAGTTCAATGCTGTCAACTACAGCACTCAGACACCGATCGGTGTGGCTGGTCTAATCAGCCCCTGGAATCTACCGCTGTACTTGCTGACCTTCAAGATTGCCCCAGCCCTGGCTGCGGGCAATACGGTTGTGGCAAAGCCCAGTGAAATGACATCAGTCACTGCATGGATGATGTGCAAGGTGTTCCAGGAAGCAGGCAAGTGGTCGTGTTACCCTGGTGTCATGTACACAGAGTGCTTTGGACTTTGCCCAATCTGCTACCGTTAGTGGGGACAAGTGCTTGCCGTTCAATCTAAGTTCTAATTTTTATTCCAGTTGACTCCGAAATTTCACAACCACCATATTTCGTTCTTGACCGCCTCTTTTGTGATGTAGCATACACTGCATTCACCGTAGCCAGTTGAGTGTTCATTTACAGTACTGTTGGGGCGACGAAGAATGGAACACCGAAGAACCGAGCTAGAATTTTACCAAGCACAGCACACCAATGTACACACCAATGTACACACGGTGACTCAACAGTGCATAGACTGTAATACATGAAAATAAGAACGGGTTAGGCTAGAAGGCTGACCCCCCCCCCCCCCCCCCCCCCAGTTCTTTGGCGACCGACAGTACTGTAGTTTGTATGAGGATGTGTATAATGTGTATATGTGTATAATGTGTATATGTGTATAATGTGTATAATGTGTGTAATGTGTATAATGTGTATAATGTGTGTAATGTGTATAATGTGTATAATGTGTGTAATGTGTATAATGTGTGTTGCATACTGTACAATGTCATGTACAGTCACACTGTTGTTGTTGTTGTTGTTGTTGTTGTTTCAACACCTCTAACTGTTAGTACTGTGCCTGATGTTATGGTATTCTCTAGGCCTGCCAGCCGGTGTGTGCAACGTGGTGTTTGGCACCGGTGCAGTCACTGGCCAGGCGCTGACCTCGCACCCAGATGTACCTGTCATCTCATTCACTGGTGGAACGGCAACGGCCGAGGTGATTCGTCGCACCATAGCGCCGTTCAATAAGAAAGTGTCGCTGGAGGTAAGGTGACGACGTGTAGAGTGTGGTATCCAACACCAGTATATTATAGTAGTGTAGCCATTGGTCAGCTGTATGTCAGGGTTGATCGCAGTACATCAGTGCGTTTGTGATGTTGATTGCACTGCAGCAGTGTGTGATGTTGCTTGCAGACTGAGTTCCAGTACGTAACATTATAACATTGTATGATAGTTGTTGACAGATGCGTCGACTCTGCCCCTGTCTAACAGGTTCAGGGAAGATGCGAGCTGTGTTTATTATTATTATTATGATAGTTTCTAACATCACTTCCCACTAGTAATGAAGTGCTACATCACACCTAGTGTGACCTAGTACATAGCACTGACATTAACCCTGCGTAACACCTTCATTACACCTGCATAACGCCTTCATAACACCTACATAACACCTTCATTACACCTGCATAACACCTTCATTACACCTACAAAGAGTATAGATTAGGCTGCACTTCTCTCAGTTAGCTTCTTTCTGACAAGTGTTCGACTCTTTTCGATTCAGTTTTAGTTATCCTCCTCTTTCGGTGACTGTGAAATGCTTTCCATCAGGCTTGCGATGTTATAGTGTTCTGGTCCTGGCTGGATTTATGTTTTGCGTGCTTTTTAGGGCTCTCCGTGTTGTCTTCTTAAAAATGCATGGTATGTGCGCGCGCGCGTGTGTGTGTGTGTGTGTACGTGTGTGTGTGTACGTGTGGTCGTGCTTGCTACAGCTGGGAGGCAAGAACCCATCGGTGGTGTTTGAGGACGCCAATCTAGATGAGTGTGTTGCAACACACCTGAGGTAGGTGTATCAATCACTGGCTCTCTTCCGTGCGTGCTGGTGTGTACTCTAATTTCACAAATTTTCGGTGTACTTTTATTTTCGGTACTTTCGGTGCATCTGCTTCATACCTAAAATTTCAATACACCGAACAAACACTAACACACATAATCCAATAGGGAACAGCTTCCCTGTACCAAAATTTTCTGTTCACCTAACCTGGCCTTTTGCCCTCATACCGAAAATATTAAGCACCGAAAATTTCTGAAATTAGAGTACTTTGTACACATTTGTGTGTGTGTGTGTGTGTGTGTGCGTGCGTGCGTGCATATGTGTGTGTGTGTATGTGTACATGCGTACGTGCATATGTGTTGACTTTACAGGTGCATGTGTGCTCATGGGCAGTTCCTCAGCTTTACAAACTGTTGAAAGGTGTTTAAGATGTTCCTATGTCAATTTTGTGCCCGTGTGTGTGTGTGTGTTCGCGTGCATGCTTGTACTTCAGGTCCTGCTTTGCCAACCAGGGAGAGATCTGTCTGTGCACTAGCCGCGTCTTTGTGCAGGACACTATCTACGATCAGTTTGTGGAGAAATTCGTGACTGCAACCCGGTAGGTCAATACTTGGCTACCTCCATTGTACATCATCATTGTGTTAGGAGCTACTTGATGTAGCGGGGTACTGTACTTGCTATAGGTCAAGTTGTGTATCTGTTTGACAATCTACTGGAGAAGTAGCTGTCCTGCAATGGCAACGGTGACTTGTGGTGGTTGCCATGTACGCACACCAGAGGCGAAGATCTGTTAGACTGTTTAGCTGTAACTTCAAGTTTCATGCATTTAGCGGTCATCAGATAACGGTATGGTATATTGCTCTGTACATGTGTGTATTGAGCACTCTATTCGAGCTGCTTTGACCGGCCCGGTTTGTAGTTACCCTGTACAAATTTCTCCATACGTGAAGGAAAAATGGCCGATCAACTTTCATGTAGCAGTTCTGTCCCCTGTCATCATGTGGTGGATACCATGGATACGGTGTCTACCTTGACTTGAGTACCAGTGTTTATGGTTTTGTTTACACCATGCCTTGATCATTGAGGGTGGCGGCGTTCCTACGGCTGCGGAAAACTCTGTCTATCCGTGTCTCATGCGAACCGTGCCATTTTTCACCTTTCTGTTATCTCTTCTCCCCCTGTCCAAATACTGCAGCACTCTGACAGTGGGTGATCCGAAAGCAGCCGGCACCAAGGTCGGCGCCTTGATCAGCGCTGAGCATCGTGACAAGGTAGGCAAACGTGTGGCTTAGAAACTACTTAAAACTAGAATCACTGCTTCGTGTGTGGTTGTCTTGTTGCTGGTTGAGGCTCTGCAGTCGGGAACAGCTTACTTACAGGAGTCATTCTTGCTTGCCCAATGCACCCGTGTGTGATTTGTGTGACTTTCTGATGAAGTGAATCGCCAATTTGTGCTGTTCAATGTTGAAAACCACACACTGCCTCCATCCACTGTAGTTCACTCTAACGCTGTTCTGTAGAATGAAACCCTTTTCTGTTGCTAGTGTAGGCTATGTTACTCCTATTGACTATCCTTGTCCAGTGACACTTGCTCTGTCCCAAACCATCGCCAGTATCCTTCATTGCAGCAGGCTCCGTAAAGGGCGTATGGAAATAAGCATAGTGTGGACTCTACTTGGTGTGTGTGTTTCTGTTTACAGGTGAAGTCGTACATTGAGATTGGCCGTAAGGACGGACGCGTGTTGTGCGGTGAGGGTGTGGATGCACCAGTGCAGTTGCCAGAAGGATTGCAAAAGGTGAGCGTGCCGGGGTAGGGAGGAGTACCTGTTCATTATTTCGTTTGAAAACTGGCTCCTTCACCACTGTCAGCACTGAAGAGTGTATTGTACTTCAGGTAGAAAGACTACTTACCCTATGCAGCTCTGATCTCTTGTCTAAGTCGCATTGCTGCTGTCTTCTTTGCATAATGTAGCTTCATCTGTGCACTGCGGCTAAAAACTATATCTTCCCTGCGGTTTGAAACTAGCTCTCCGAATCTCGGGTCAACTGAAGTCTGTGCACCCAGCATTTAGGGATGGTGCCTCTGTTCTGCAACAAGTTGTCAGATTTCATTAGCCAGCGTTGTATGTACTGTATGTACTGTATGTACTGTATGTACTGTATGTACTGTATGTACTGTATGTACTGTATGTACTGTATGTACTGTATGTACTGTATGTACTGTATGTACTGTATGTACTGTATGTACTGTATGTACTGTATGTACTGTATGTACTGGTAGATCTACACAGTGCTGCTTATTGGGGTTAGAGAATGAGAGTGTGTTCTCCCTGTCAGTGTTTTCTGATACATGTACAGTTGTGCTCGGTGAAATTCCACCCAACGTGCAAGGCTGGCTGGCACCCTGGACTAGTTCTCAGAATCTGATTACATCATTGTGTGTATGTCCAGGTGCATTCGTACCATTTCCAGGGTGTCAAGGGCATGCAAGTTCAGGGCGCCAAATATGCACTCCGGATTGGATTTCTGGTTGCATTTCTGGTTGCATTTCACCGAGCTCAACTGTGCAAACAGCATCCACTCAATAAAAAAAGCTCTGCTATTGGCCAGTACTGCAGTGTGTCTGCTGGTAGTGATAATGGTCATGTGACGCTGTTTGTGTGTGTGTTTTGTGTGTGTGTTTTGTGTGTGTGTTTTGTGTGTGTGTTTTGTGTGTGTGTGTGTGTGTGTGTGTGTGTGTTTTGTGTGTGCATTGCCAGGGGTACTATGTTCAACCCACTGTGATTGTAGACTGTCCAGATTCTTCACGCTGTATGCAGGAAGAGATATTTGGTATGTAGCGTTATGCGTCTGTCTGTATGCATGTCTGTCTGTGCACGTCCACCCATCTATTTTGCTCTGATCCGTTGACACTGTATTGATTGAGTGGTTGTGGTTGCCTTGGTTACATGGTGCACATGTAGGATCTGTCACCATGGTCACAGGCAATACATGGTACATGAAGTAAAAAAATTGATTTCTTGTTTGTGTTCACTGCTTGTGTGTGTTTGCAGGTCCTGTTGCGTGTATCAGCAAGTTTCATTCACAAGAGGAGGTAAACTGCTGCTGCTGCTATTGCCGCATTTGTTGCTGCTGCCGCCGGCGGTGCTGCTACTGCTGGTGCCTACGCAACCATCGTTGCTTCTGCAAGTGCTTCTGTGGATAATCATTGTTTTAAATGAGAACATGTATCAGTATGAGAGTGTATGGATCTCAGGTGACAGAAGACTAGTGTTGGGCTGGTATTTGTGACCGCAACTTTCACTGTTGAAGTTTTAGATGCAGATGGGAAACCTTGTGTACACTATGAGCTTGATGGCCAGGAAGCTCTGAGTTTGTGAAACTCAACTACATTTTATCAATGGGGTAAACGTCAATGGCACATGTTAGGACGGATTACACATGTTTCCCTCTTGACATAGCAGCCTCATCTGCATTACAGCCGTCCTCTTGCCGTTCTGGTGTTTACATGTATGTGTGCTTCTACTGTTGATACCGCATGTGGTGAATCAATGAATATTGCTCTCCGTGTGTGTGTGTGTGTGTGTGTGTGTGTGTGTGCGCGCGCGTGCACGTTTGTGTGTTTGTGTATGCGTGTGTGTGTGTATGTGTATAATGTGTGTGTGCATGCATCTATGGACGGTGGCCGTGTGTGCATGTGTTGTTCCTTGCCTTCGCCCCCACCGTAGGTGATAGAACGTGCCAATGGTGTCAAGTATGGCTTGGCAGCGTGTGTCTGGTCGAGAGATATCTCCAGAGTGCACACTGTGGCTCATGAACTGCATGTACGTACAGTGCCTCGTACCGGCTGCGTCCGATGCTGTTTGGGATTACAGTGAACCTGGTTGAGAAGAATACCGAACTTGTGATAAGACATACAGTACATGTACCTGCACTTTATAAGAGTTAGAAGAACTACTATTCATGACTCTATCGGATAAATCACTGTGTATTCACTGGGTATATAATATGGATAAGAAGAACTCTCGTTATTGCAAGCAGATACCACCCCGGTCCCTAGTGTTTGTCCTAAAGAGGTTTGGTTGTAGCGTGTGTGATTACCTGTTGGTGATGTGTTATGGGCATGCCTGTACTTTGTGCATGTATGTGTGTGTGTGTGTGTGTATGTGCGTGTGCGCGTGCGCGTGTGTGTACACGTGTGTATTTTCTGTACAGGCTGGGACTGTGTGGACAAACTGTTGGATGGTGCGTGATCTGAACATGCCCTTCGGAGGCATGAAAGCCAGTGGTACAGGACGAGAGGGATTCAAGGACTCCATGGAGTTCTTCACCGAGTCCAAGACAATCTGCATCAAGATGTGATATCTGAGCGTAGGCTGAGCGGCACATGACCTGATACCTCTGCCATACACATGCACATGTGTGTGATTGGACACGATCACAGAAGGACTGGTTGTGCAAGTGCAAGTTACAGTGCTCTGGAAGAGACAACTGTGAGTTTTCCCTGATGGTGTCGCCATGCATAGTACAGTGCTGTGATTTGCTCATTGCTATTATGCCAAGATGGCCAACTACAACTACAAGGGGACGTACCAAGATGGCCATCTACAAGGGGACGACTTGCACGTGTGCATATGCTGCTCTAGTCATGTAGGTACTGCGGCGGGCATAGGCACAATCGGCGTTCACCTGTGCCGTAGTGTGTGTGTAGGCATTTCTAGTTTAGTTTCCGTAGTCACTTCAGTTGTAGGGTCAGGGCATGCTGTATGTATTCTGTGCTCTGTAGTACAACGTGCAGTGCAGTATGCATGCTGTGTTGTGTAGTACAACGTGCAGTGCAGTATGCATGCTGTGTTGTGTAGTACCTAGTAGCAATGTTGCACGGATGTGAGGAGCATCATGTACATGCGTGAGTGTGACACTGGCAATTATTTGTTCTGTGCATTCTACCTCGAAGTAACTTTCCTACGATTTCATAGTCATTGAGTGAAATGCTGTATGAATAAGTGAAAAATGCTAACCTAAAAATGCATACAGATCATTTCGATAGCTTTTTATATACAGTATTCGAAATTGTTGGCGAAGATGATGGCTGGATTTATGTTTAAGGATTTTTCTTGAGTTTGTCTCTGGTTTTGATTTTACATTAATTTTAGGCTAGAGGCTATTCGTTCTATGGCGCGCTTATGATTGCATTTCTTTTTGCTTTGTACTTTTAAAATGTCTTACAATCCAATCTTTTCCTGTTTCTTGTTGATATAAACTTGAAATCTGTATGTGTGTATGTGTGTAAAATTTGAAGGGGCACATGAGGAAGGGTGCAACCCCAAGAAAGTGACGCAACCTGCCTAGTGTAGCATACTGACCAACCACCAAAATCTCAATCCCTTGACAAGACATACAGAATCTCTGGATTTTGCTCAAAATCCCTGGATGGCACAAAAACAAGTGAAAAAGGGCCTTTCCCGCCAAAAAAAGTTCAACTCTGCTAGATCTGCGTATACGGCACAGTTCAACCCTGCATTATTTTTCGACCCTGCATTGCAGTTCGATCAGTCGGCGCCCGGCTATAAGCTAGCGCCTAGCGCCTGTCAGTGCAGATCTTGTGGTCAGGTCTTGAAAGTGCCGTGCACGGTTCGAAGTGCGAGAGTGCGCACCGTACATATTTTTGAAAAACCGCGACATTCAAGTTGAATCCATGGAGTTTTCTGGAAAATCCTGCATCAGACGAAACTGTGACTTTTCCGGGAGTTTCCTTGAAATCCCCGGGACCCCGGGAGTAGTGTTGATTTCCCGGGAAACCGGGAGGGTTGGCCAGTATGGTGTAGCCCCCCCCCCCCCCCCAACACATGCACGCAGACAGACAGATGATGAACACACACCACCACACACTTCAAAATGGCGAGTAAGTTGGGTGAGAGACATTGAAACATTCTCATAAAAAAATCAAACCACCTTGCTCCAGTGTTTCCACAGTAGCCACGGTGACAGTCTAAGCAACAGTGTTCATAACGACGTTAACAACACAAGGGCATATGTACAGCAGCAGCAGAAGAGACAGCAACGGGGTTGTTGCCTAATCCTCCTCACTACTGTACTCCACAAACCACCATTACCGTCGCTCACACAAACCAGTGCACCAAGCGACCAGGTAGGAGAAACAAAGTTAAGTTAAGATAAGTCCGCCGCGGGCATGATTCTGCAGGCAGAGCACCTTGTCTGCGCCGCCCACAGATGCTGCTGACACGCCGTTCGCCGACTGCGCCTCCAGCCACTTCTTCCGCTGGAAGCAGTCTTTTTTTACGTGCCCGGTCCTATCGCAGAACACACACTGCAGTGTTCCTCGGCTGGCAGTCCGCTTCGGGCAGTTCCGGCGGATGTGCCCGGGCTCATTACAAAAGTAGCACAGTGTCTTGGCCTTGGGAGCTTGTCCACTAGCGCTGGTGCCACCACTGCTGCTGCCACCTCGGGGCGCAGCACTGCCACTGGCTGCCGCTGCCATCCCCGTATCAGGCCTGGACGAATCCACAACGGCTAGGGCACGGACCTTGCTCACAATGTCCGGTACCGCGAACTTGACGCCAGCGCACGAGAGGCGAATCTGGCGCTCCAAGTGGACAGGTAGCCCCGCCAGCAGCTGTTCAATGATGACGGCGTTGTCATCACCATCGCCGGAGTGGCCGGCCGCAGACAGCAGGCGGCGCAAGTCCGCAACATACGCCTCAGGCGTCTCATCCAGCCGGTACCGCCGGCTACTGAATTGGCGATAAGCATCTCCTGGTGACACTCCAAATGTCTTTTTCATGACATCCACCACCTTGGCTTTGTCTTTCTTGTCATCTGTCGGCATCTTGGAGTACACTAACAGAGCATCTGACTCCAAGAACAGGGGCAGCCTTTTCATCAGCTTTTCCTCGGTGTCCCAACCAGAACATTCGCCGATCACCTGGAACTTGACCCAGAACATGTCCCAGTCGTCGTGCTTACCCTTGAAGGGCTTCACAAATCCGTCAACCTTCAACGACATTACTACCCACTAAGGTAACACAGCCCTACAGGCTACAAACACTTACAGAACGAGAAAACTGAAAAACGAAGAAACAGCCCTGAACGGCTCAACCTCAAGCTAGGGTTTCGGGACCAAAAGTTGTTGCCTAATCCTCCTCACTACTGTACTCCACAAACCACCATTACCGTCGCTCACACAAACCAGTGCACCAAGCGACCAGGTAGGAGAAACAAAGTTAAGTTAAGATATTTACAAGAAGATTACAACAAGAAAAAGAACCCAGAACCACGATCGCCAAATCGCTGTCATCAGCAAAACGTGCCCGGGTGCGTGCATTGGCTTACGTGTACATCAGTGCGTGCATTGGCTTACGTGTCATCAGTGCGTGCATGCATGAAGTCTTTGAAGATCAGAAAAGCAGAATGATCACAACTCATGCATGATGCATCGATGAGTCATATCAACGGACAACGACTACGTAACCATGGATATAATAATGGCGACAGCAAAGTTAGTTCCGCGTCCAAAAGCGCAGGTGCAACAAGGAAAAGTCAGAGTGCAGAACAAACAGAAATTCAAATCGAAAGGAGATAAATATTGCAAAGATGAAGCGAATCGGTTTGGTCTGTCAGAGGGTGCTTGCGCCCAGCGACAGGGTGACAGCAAACCCTGTCAGAGAGAGAGTCAGTGTACAGAATAGGAATACATAGAACGCAGCACGCAATGGAGTTGCTGTGGAGAGCGAGAATGCAAGCAACAACGTAAGTACTATCTATGCAACTAATTATATCGGCGTATTGTTATTGATATTACTATCCGACAAACACGCACAACACACAACAAACACTGTATCGTAACAACGCACTCGTAAATGATGTTATCACAACGACACTCGTAAATGATGTTATCACAACGACACTCATTCTATTTCAGGGTTAGCAGCGTTAATAGCCGTTATGTTCAGCGGTATATAGATAGAGATACACACGTGATCTTTGCACTAATTTGCACTCAATGTTATCAGTACTCGAAGTAGTAGTAGTCAATGTGTGGCAAATAATTGTAAAAGGGAATAAAGAAACGGGCCAGGCAGTTCTGAACTCCTCCATCTGCTCTGGTGTGTAGTGCATACATGGGGTGAAAGTTAAGAACCTGGTACAAGTTTACCCCAGGAACGGACCTGGTACAAATCTACCCCAGGAACGGACCTGGTACAAGTCTACCCCAGGAACGGACCTGGTACAGCCAGAATATTAAAGGAAAAATAGCCAGAATAACAAAAGAAAAATAGACTGGGGAATCAAGGAATAGGAAGGGGTGAGTCCTGGGAATTTCCTTCCCAACAAATGGAGGAAACACTATTATAAATTGTATACAAGAAAGCTAGACCAAGTTGCCAGCCAGACAGTGTTCAGCTCACTGGCAGCAACAACAGCAATGGAGAGAGAAAGAGAGAGAGAGAGAGAGAGAGAGAGAGAGAGAGAGAGAGAGAGAGAGAGAGAGAGAGAGAGAGAGAGAGAGAGAGAGAGAGAGAGAGAGAGAGAGAGAGAGAGAGAGAGAGGGAGGGGGAGAGAGAGAGAGAGAGAGAGAGAGAGAGAGAGAGAGAGAGAGAGAGAGAGAGAGAGAGAGGGAGAGAGAGAGAGAGGGAGAGAGAGGGAGAGAGGGGGGAGAAGGAGAGAAAGTAAGAGAGAGTAAGAGAGGTAAACACTAAACAGGCAGACAGACAGACACCTACTTCGATCTGGACACAGACAATTGGACACAAACAGACAAGACATGGTTACACACACACACACACACACACACACACACACACACACACACACACACACACACACACACACACACACACACACACACACACACACACGCCATAGTAGTAACATTGTTCACCACCCTCTGGCTGCTTCTTGGATGAGGATTTCTTTGAAGAGATCTTTCTTATAGAGTTCACGTGCTGTTGGACGATGGCCGGGATCAATGGCCAATAACTCACGTATGATACATCTCTACGGAGCACAAAGTAACAACAACAGACCACGGACAACAACAACAACAACAACAACAACAACAACAGCAGCAGCAGCAACAGCAACAACAACAACATGACGTGTTGATAAGTTGATACTCCACATGGCATGCTAATACAAGACCAAGAACTGTCCAGCACAAAGAAGCAAGTACTTCTCAGAGCAAAGCCTGATTGAGAATACGTGTAGCAGCAGAAGTCAGAATGGTTGAACTGCACTGTGGCCTGTAGCTATCTGTACATGTACACGTCCACTGTATAGAATAACAGGTGAGTCTTCACCAGCATTAGTACAGTACAGACCCAGTGCATGTACTGGTCAATCAGATACAGGTAAGCCTATGCATTGCCATGCATTGCCAGCAGCAGCATCAGCATCAGCATCAGCATTAGTCCTGGAAACCAACCAACCTGGTCTTCATTGAAATCTTGTGGGAATTGGTGTTTACGTGCTTTGCACAACACCTGCAACACAGTGCAACACAGTACATAGGAAACCGTATACTGTATGAGCAGAAATATTCGTCTGGAATATACTTTCGTCTTTTTTCGTCCAAGGAGCTTTTGGACTAAATTAAATGAAGGACTAATGTCGATGTGTCCAGCTTTTCAATACACTCTGGAGATCCACACACCCAAACACGCAGCACACATGCCCATACATGTACATCAGCTACGCTATGAGTCATGTTGGTTGCTTTTCTATAGATGTAAATACAATGTAGCTACACTGTGCAGTGGTGCTACATACATTCGCCAGTACACTTCAAACTAGGGGTGTCAACGGGTAGTAGAGTACCCGTGCTACCCGTAATAAAAGCGGGTAATCGGGTAGCAGTTTGCTCCTGAGAACCCGATCGGGTAGTGGGAGTACGGTGTTTTCGCAACAGTGCATGTAAAAACGCATGGCTATGTGCTTACTGTGCATTTTCTATGTAGCACAAGTGCACACTCATTGTCCAAACTATGTCAACATACCCCATAGGGTACCCGTGCTACCCGGATAGAAATACCCGAACTCGTTACCCGACCAAACCCCTACCCGTTGCAGCCCTACTTCAAACCAGTAGAAACACACAGGAAACAAGAAATCAATCACGATAGTAGCATTCTTGGTTGTATGCTACAACTGTCACTTTTCAAGGCACAGGCGTAAGTTACTTACGAGCACACGCTCCATTTGTGTCTCAAACGGGCACAGCAGCTCAACGAAGATGATACCGAGTGAGAAGATGTCAACTTTGTCACAATACTTCTGCCCTTTCATCTGCACAACAAGAATACAAACAATACATTGGCGGCGTCACACCCACACACCCACACCCACCCACACACCCACACCCACCCACACACCGGTGGGGAGGAGCACAAGCCAGCATCGCTATTGGCTGCCGCATCCCTGGCCCAGGATTATTGCCAAGCCCATGCACCTCGTTCGGGAGCCTCCATTCAAATCTCTCCGCTGTCACAACTGTCATCAGACGGGACATCTCGCTAGAGATTGTATTGCATGGTCGGAGCCCTCACAAACAAGATCGCCAGTCGACACCACCGCCAAGGGGCTGTCACCAGCCGCTCCAGCGTTTAAGCAGAGGCCACCTGTACCTCCCAAGCAACAGGTTCACTTCAGATGTGCGGAGGCCAGGAATGTGGTATTGAAGCGGCCATTCACGCCATGCATGCTACATTCAGCAGTGTCGATGCAGTGCTCATGGCAAATACGTCCAACGCGCTCAATCGCCTCAACAGAGAGGCTTGCATGCGCAATGTAGCGCTCCTCTGTCCTAACATCATGCCCACGATTATCAACTGCTACCGACACCCAGCCCGCCTATTCGTGGATGGGGAGTGCCTCCTCTCGCGTGAAGGCACAACACAAGGAGACCCACTAACCATGCCGATGTATGCTCTGAGGGACCTCTCTCTGGTGCACTGCGTGGCAACCCCAGTGGGAACCTGCCAGAACTGGTATGCTGATGACTCATCAGAGGGTGGCAAGTTCGACCCTTTCCTGCAATGGTGGATCGACTCAAGGATGGGCTGGTGTTCGGCTATTTCATTTACCCCAGCAAATGCATCCTCGTCGTCAAGCCGGACAAGCTAGAGGCAGCCCAGACCATCTTCGCCGGCACGGGTGTGTCTATCACCACTGACGGGTGCCGCAAACTCTGATCAGCTATAGGAACTGATCAGTTCGTGTAGGAGTTTGTGACTTCCAAGGTGACCGTTGGTGCAGAGGTTTGTGGCTTCCAAGGTGGCCACCTGGTCGCAGGAGCTATGCAAGCTGTCAGACTTTGCCCGATCACAGCCTCAAGCAGCATACTCCACACTTGTGAATAGTCTCCAGCACTGATGGTCCTTCCTGTGTCAGATTCCCATGCTTCACCTGCAAGGCTCCTGCCGCCCCGGGTACCGACGAAATCGAAAGCCTTCACATCCCCAGGAGAGCTACCGAAGACAGCGGGTGAACAATCTGCAGTCAAGCAGCTGCACATTCAAGAGAAGCCAAGCACCCCCCCCCCCCCCCCCCCCCCCCCGCCGTATAGATGGTAGACAGCATGCATGTAGAAGGAGGCTAATGTGTCGTAGATAGCCCTTTGAGCCTTAGCCCTTGGTAGTGACTTGAATAATTATATTTTATTTCACATGTCATTATGGAAGTGGTCCTCACCAAGAAAACATAATCCTGTGTTATTTCACATGTCATATATTTATTTTCCTTCAGTGTTTTTCTATTCCCTCTGATCAGTTTATTCAAATGTTCACGTGATAAAGAGTCGAAAAGAAAGGACCAAAGGTGGACGTGATATCCGAGCGCACTCCCCTTTCTCACGTTCTTTCATAGCTTGGAACCTTTCAAGTTTGAAGGCTGTTGGAGTGCGTATTCGAGACGCGATGGAGCTAAACATCAGGTCGTTAAATTATTGTGGCCAACTGTTCTACGCTGTGACTCACTGGATATAGTGGATAACATGTAAACCTTTGGTCATCTTATTTTACTTCAAGAATTTTAATCCGTGGCTCTCGAGTGTGATAAAGAGCGCTGCTAAAAATTTCAAAGAAAAAAAGTGTTATGTACCAACCCTTGATCAAACATCATCAAGTCATTATTGTTATTGGAAAAAGCCTTGGAAGAAAGCCAGACTAAAATAGGAACAAGAAGCTCTTGTGCGCATGCGCAATACATAGATAGTGAAGTAGTGCAGAGTAGTAACATTAGTACTACAGAGAGAGACACCACAATTCCTCCCCCTTAAAAAAAAACAAGCAAAAAAACAAACAAAAAAAAACAAAAAAATATATAATTTATCGTTCATGCACAAAGTAGTGTAATATGAAATGTCAGTAATCTACTTGTGATACAGGTACTGACTGTATTAATAGATATCTATGTTCGCAGATGGGGTATATACGGTAATAATTATGTCAACTACAATACACAGTGTTCCAAGGTTAGAAATCATGTCAGTCGACATAATTAACACTCGATCTATCATAATGTCCCAATATTGAAAAAGTCCATCAGCGTGTCTTAATCAGTCCACCAGTCTATCAGGCAATCCTAGACTCACTGGGAAGCAATCAGTCTGCCAGGTGGATGTGACTGACGTGAAGAACGACGCACAGCGATCTCAACAGACTTACCACTGCTGGACGACTTACTGCTCTGATCTGTCTCAGGTAGTGTATCTTGCGTCAGAATCTGTTCAGATCCAGTCAGTTGAGCAGCGCACTGTGGAGTTGGCACTTGTAGACTTGACTCCTTGCTGCTGTTAGCTGGTTGACTTGACTCCTTGCTGCTGTTAGCTGGTGTAGACTCGCGACACTGTCCACTGAAACTTCCATTCACGTTGACAGAAGCATGGCGAGTATCCGGTAGTTGCGGTGGTTGTTCACCCTTGTCGGTAGCAAACATGCTAGCTGGTAGAGCGCGTGGTCGGATCTGGTTACGGTGTCTCTTCCAAACACTGTCTCCAACTTGCACCTGGTAATTGTACGGACTCAGAGTTGACAACACAATACCAGGAATCCATTTGCTACCATGACGCCCAAAGTTCAAAACAAATACTGTCTGACCATTTGTGAACTCGGGTTGGTCATTTAGCGATTCTTCAAAACGCTCCACACTACGCTTGGTTTCGGAGGGGCGTAACACATCGTAACGGGTACGGGGTTGGCGGTTAAACATAAGCTCCGCTGGAGTTTTTCCATTTGCCAACGGTGTCGTGCGATGCGACAGTAAGAAACGGCACAACTTTGTGTTGAGCGTTTCATCACACCGATCCACGGTCATTAACTTCATCTTCTCTTTGAAGTACCCAACATATCGTTCAGCTAGCCCATTAGTAGCTGGGTGTCCAGGCGCTGTTTTAGTGTGATGAATGCCATTTTCACGCACAAAGCGTTGGAACGATTCGCTGGTGAACTGACTGCCATTATCAGACACCAAATGCTCGGGTAAACCGAAAATCGCAAACAAGTGCCGTAGTGTCTCAATGACGCCATTTGTCGTAGCATGAGTCATTGGGACGATATCTAAGAACTTGGTGTGAGCATCGATAATTACCAGAAACATTTTACCCAAGTAAGGTCCAGCAAAATCCAGGTGGATTCGACGCCATGGTCCTGAAGGCCAAGTCCAGGTTCCGCAAGATTTCGGTGGTGAGCGAGCATTTGCCTGGCAAATATCACACATTTTCACAGTTTCTTCCAATTGGTTGTCAAGATTTGGCCACCACAGGTATTTCCGCGCCACTCTTTTCATACGAACTATGCCCATGTGCTCTGAGTGTAGATCACCCAACAGAACATTCTGAAGTGAACTCGGAATCACTACTCTATCATTCCAAAGTAGAACATCACCCTCCACTGTCAGTTCAAACCTTCGAGTGAAGTACGGTAACAATTCAGTGGGGACACTTACAGGCCATGCCTTCCGAGTGTAGGTTAGTACCTTGCCAAGTAATGGATCACCCTTTGTTTCTTGCGCCACGAGATCTGCATTTGCAATGCCCTCCTCTGAGATTAAAAGAACGTGCCCAGTCACCATTTCAGCTTCAGTTGGCACTCCTTCGACTGGACTACGAGACAGGAAATCTGCAATGTGGTTGCTTTTCCCAGGAATGTGAGTGATTTTGAAACGATATGCGATCAGTGACAATCTCCATTTCTTTAACCGATTTGACAGCATTGTAGGGACTGGTTTGGATGGATCCAGAATTGAGAGAAGCGGTTTGTGATCCGTTCGAATTTCGAACTCACGACCCAACAAATACTGTTGAAATTTGTTTGTCCCAAAGACAATTGCTAATGCTTCCCGTTCGATTTGAGAGTAATTTTGTTCCGCTTTCGTGAGTATTCGAGACTTGAATGCGATAGGTCGCAGCACCCCTCTCTTATCCGGTTGTAATAAAACGGCTCCAAGACCCTTTCCGGAAGCATCCGTTTGCAAGATTAGTTCTCTTTCCTGGTAGTAATTTGCCAATACGTGATCCGACGTTAATATTTCTTTCACCTTGCGGAAAGCTTCATTTTCTCGTTGGTCCCAGTGCCATTTCACATCCTTTTTCAGCAAGGTGTACAATGGGGCCATTATGTCGGCAAAATTCGGTATGTACGCACTGAGATAGGTAGCGGACCCAATAAATGATTGGAGTTCTGCGACACCTGCAGGTGGTTTCGCATTTCGTAGAGCTGACACTTTTTCTGAAGTGGGGGACATTCCGCTTCCAGAAAATCGGTGTCCAAGATAGGTAACTGAATCTTCCATTATTCGCACCTTGTCTGGTCTAAGTTCCAGCCCAACTTTCTGCAGACGTTTGAGTACCCTTTCCAGATTTGCCATATGTTCGTTTTCATTAGCACCCGTGATCAAGATATCGTCAATGTACACCATGCAGCCTGGTAGATCCGCAAGAACATTTTCGATGGTTCGTTGAAAGATTGACACGGCCGAGTTTATGCCAAACGGTAATCTCGTATACTCAAACAGACCTCTGTGAGTAGAGATGGTAGTGAAAGCTCGGCTTCCCTCATCTAGCTCTAGCTGATGATAGGCTTGTGATAAGTCCAATTTCGTGAACTTACAGCCCCCTGCCAATTTTTCGCGTAGCTCTTCAAGTGTTGGCAATGGATAGTGTTCACAATCCGAGTGCTTGTTTACTGTTAACGAGTAATCGCCACACAGTCGTATTTTGCCATTTGGTTTTTCTACTGGTACCGTTGGTGATGCCCATTTAGCATGATCTACTTTCTTGAGCACTCCGCCTTTCACCAGTGCATCCAGTGACTCTTCGTATCTTTGCTTTACCGAAAAGGGTACTGGCCGTGCCTTGCAAAACACTGGATTTGATTCATCCACATGCAGAGTGATCTGCGTTGTATTCAATTTGCCAATTTCCTCAGTGTCGAACAGTTCTGGGAATCGCTCAATCAGATCCTGTACGCGCACATGGTTTACTCGCTGACGCCTGTTTTCTTCTTGCTCAATGAACAGGTGCCATGGCATTTTAAACCTTGACAACATGTCTCGACCCAGCAGGGATGGACCATTCGATACGACCCGTACAAGTACAGGTTGACAGTCACCCTCGATAGTGATAGGTAGTGACATCTCACCCAGACATTCAATAGATTGACCAGTATAACCTTGCATTCGTATAGTAGATTTTTCCAGCCTTTCGCAATTTCCGTTTGCGTGCACAAAATCATTTTCACTCAAGATCGTTACGGGACTCCCTGTATCTACTTCCATATTCACAGATGCCCCATTTACATCTACGTCAATTTTGAAAGGACCCACTTTCGAGTATGCATTTCCATTCACGTAGTAAAGAGACAGAGGCACAGACACAGGTTCGATCTCACCGGTTTCCTGGTCGTCATATTCGGTCTGGACGAACTTCACGGCTCGGGCTTTTTTCTTCTTGCAAGCTCTCTCGATATGGCCAACGATCTTGCAGTACCTGCACTCAGTTTGTTTGAAGTAACAGTCGGCGGCTTTGTGACCAGGTTTGTCACAACGGAAACATTTCTCGGCGTTGGTGCTGGCTGCTGACCTCATTCTCTCACTTCTCTGAGCGCTGTCTCCGGGGCGTCTCGACTTCACTGCATGCACTGTCGTTGCAGGTTCAAATCTTGCAGCATCCTTGTACGCTGTCTCGTACAACGTAGCTCTCTCCACTGTGGTGGCGTACGTGTCCGAATCCTCAGCCTTGCTGAGAATCTCCTTGGTCATGGCGTGTGAAACCAAACCCTTTACAAAATTGTCGCGCAAGGCGCGGTCCAGATGATCTCCGAACTTGCAGTCAACAGCGAGCCCGTTCAGTCTAGCTGAAAATTCAACAATTCTCTCTCCCTCCTTCTGCTCTGCTTGATTGAATTGATGCGTCGCAGCAACAGCACTCACAGGAGGTCGATAGAAAGTGGTCAGGATTTCGACAATGTCGTTGTACTTCTTGCTTCCAGGTTTGTTCGGAAGACACAAATTCTTTAAATTCGTATACGCGCTGGCTGACAGCTGGGAGATGAGTACTGCAGCCTTTCTCTTATCCGCAGCATCCTTCTGTGCAGCATTTGCAGAGCTGGCCAACTGCCCAATGTCATTTGCGATAAAAAAGAACTCTAGACGTTCCGCATACTCCTCGAAATCTCCAGTATCAAATACAGTACTTCTAACTTTGCCTGTTTGGCCATCCTTTTACTTCGTCGCCAAATTGTTATGTACCAACCCTTGATCAAACATCATCAAGTCATTATTGTTATTGGAAAAAGCCTTGGAAGAAAGCCAGACTAAAATAGGAACAAGAAGCTCTTGTGCGCATGCGCAATACATAGATAGTGAAGTAGTGCAGAGTAGTAACATTAGTACTACAGAGAGAGAGACACCACAAAAAGAGAGAAAAAGACTAGCCACTGGGTCTCACCAGTTCAGGACTCATGTAGATTTCTGTACCAACTTGTCCCGTGTGTTCACCTTCAGCACCACTACCAAATTCACATGCTGTAGAACATAGTACACATGTACGCACACCCACACACCGCACACCCACACACCGCACACCCACACACCCACCCACCCACAAACACCCACACACCGCCCCCACACACACACACCATACCAACACCCACAGGCACATACACACATTATAAAAGGAGGTTGGGTACTTTCAGTCAAAATTTCATTGCTAAAGTAATGTCTTCAAACTCATACATGCACAGTGCACACACACATAAAATTAATATGCACACGCACACACACGCACATGCTGTGATGCAGCTTGATAATGCGTCCACCTACCCAGAGCGTGCAAGTCATCTCGACTGAGATTGCGGTGATGACCCGATTCAGTCGCCAAGCCAAAATCACCGACCTTGACTTGTCCATCGCGCGCAAAGAAAACATTGGATGGCTGAAGGTAATCGAGAGTCAAGAAATACACAATGTCATATACACAGACACTGCTCTTGGACCACTGGACATCCTGACTAGAGTGCAGGTGGAAGGTTGTACATGGACATGCACATTGTACTTGATTACTGCAGATGGCAGTGCAGACAGAACATGAGTCACTAGCTAGAAACAGCTAGAACATGCCTTGAAGGACACCGGCCCACCAGCCAACCAGCCCTGGTGAACAGTCTTCAAAGGTGCCAGTACTCAGTAGGTGAGAAGATCAATAGTCATGCCATGCAAGCACATGTACCATCATGGGGTGTAGTAGGTAGGTTAGGTGAAGTTCGGGTAAGGCACGGACAAGGAAATGAGACAGAGTGCATAGAGAGAAAAGAAGCATGTTGCAAACTACAGAACATCAACAAGAGTGCACCGTACAACAGTTGACCAAGCTCAAGCTCATACTGCAATCATCAGGCACCACACGTACTTGTACATAAGCCAGAATGTGCAACTCTGCATCAGTTTGGGAAAGCGGAACGGGTCAGAATGACACAACCAGCAAATTGCGCTGCTCGGTACCCATACACGGAGTTACACACCCTCGTCATCATGTACTCTTGGCACAAGGTACTAGTATAGGAGGAAGAGTACAACACTGAATAGTAGTGAATACTGACCTTCAAGTCACGATGCATCAGCTTGTTGTCATGAACATAGCCAACAGCTCGTACAATCTATGCATACCGCCGACACAGAAAAACAGGCAGACACACAAACACGCACACACACACGCATGTTTCTGTGTAACGCACTAGAAAAGCAGAAACAAGAAAAGCAGTAATTTCAGCTCTGATCGCGCTGGTCAACTACATTGCCCTCTACAATGATGTGAGTAAAAGCACAAGCCAGACTGTCTCAAATTGCCTTGGAAGTACAGTGTGACGTCATGCTTCACTCATATCGTATACTACGCATGATGTTGAATATAGGATTCGTCACATTGAACTTGATTCAAGTAACGCAAGCGACAGGGTACAGGCATACACTGCTGGGAGTGCGGGTTTGAAGCTTTGTAAAGTTTGTATACTTAGCAGTGTTAGCACACAACCGTCACAACTGGATGATCGCAGAAGTTGGCGAGCTGGGCTCAACTTTCGCTGGCCCAATGAGGTACAGTCAGAAAGACGCCCGCCCGCTTGCCCGCCGCCCTCACCTGCAAGAATATTTTGGTTGCTTGCTGTAGAGATCGGTCGGAAACATGATCGTGCAGCCAGTCTTTCAGATTCATCTTCTTGCACAGCTGCATCTGGATGTACAGGTAGACAGGCGGGGAATCACTGTGCTCCGACATGGACGACTTCTTGCCTACACAGCAAGAACAAGAATGGAAAGAACGGAACATACATGTATGACAGGAAGAAGAATTCTTATTCACTAGCTTGAGAGAGTTGAAAGGGAAAGAGGAGACTGATCGGCAGCAAATACAGTCAACTTCGCTAATAGCGACTGCGGATATAATGACAATTCGCGAATAACGACAGAATTTACATGCCCCGAGTCCCATCTAACTGTAACACATAATGAGACTCCGGGTATAAGGGCACTTCGCGAATAAGGACACTTTTCTGATGCCCCGCCGAGTGTCGTTATACGCGAAGTTATTAACTGTAATTACACTGCACCAAGAAGGAAGAGTAAACACCAATGCGACTATCGTGAACATACAGGAATGGCAGTTACAACACACCAAGCTCCTACCCACCCACCCACCCACCCACCACACACCCACACAACAAATATCCACTATACGCGTGAACCAGGCGTTGTGAGGTCCGACATCAAAACAAGACAGCCACACATATGGCGCGCAATGCCTTACTCATTACTGATGTATCAGTACAGCTAGTCGACGAGTCATCACCATCAGTACCGCGGGCAATGATGCCGTCTGTGTAAGATGACGAGTTGGAGCGGCTTGCCGAGGTGGTGAACAGAGGGGATGCGGCCAAACGAGAGTTGTCTGTGCTGTTCTGTGCGGACAGGTCACCGAACACTATGCCACCGGAGCTCTCATTGTCAGATGAGTAGCTGGGAATGGGACGTCGGCCGGGGAAATGACGCATGGGATTGGACATGCTGCTACTGTCAGCAGGAGTGCTCCGCGTTGCTAGATCACTGACGGCATCGCCTAACTCATCATTACTGTGCATATAGCATGTGCATGTGTGTGCATGTGTCCGTATGTCCATGCACATGGATCACAGTCAAGGGAAAGAGACAACACACACACACACACACACACACACACACGAGTACATACGCACATACACAGGGAAAGAACACACAGATTAGGGAATGACACGGCACTATCGAGAGCAGCACACACCAGTGTAAATACACACCTTAAGACAGCAGTAGAACCATCAACATGGGTCTGCAAGGACTAGAAATACACATCCATGCATCCATGCATGCATGCAGCCATACTATGCTGGACACAACACAAACCCTTTGCCACAATATCATGTCAATATACCTCTGGCCTTGACTGCTTCCAAGAACAAAATACATTGTGACTTCATGAGGATTCATCTCACCATTCATCGTCATACTCGTCTTCATCATCCTCATCCTCATCTCCATCCAGACCATCCCCACTTTCAACACCGATGTCATCGTCGTCAAATATGTGGCCCACCGGTGGTCTCTCTTCCCAAGAGTTGAAGTAACGCACAATGTTCTGATGGTCCAATGAAGCTAAGGCATCCACTTCACGCATCACTTTCGAACGCATTCTACACAGGGCAATGACAAAAAAAAAGGATTTCGCATAGCACGGACAAATTTAGCACACTATCACACGAATCACAAACTATGTACAACTGATTTGCATTGAGCAGAGAGAGTGAGGGAGGGAGGAAGAGAGAGAGAGAGGGAGGAAGAGAGAGAGAGAGAGAGAGAGAGAGAGAGAGAGAGAGAGAGAGAGAGAGAGAGAGAGAGAGAGAGAGAGAGAGAGAGAGAGAGAGAGAGAGAGAGAGAGAGAGAGAGAGAGAGAGAGAGAGAGAGAGAGGAAGAGGGGGGAGGGGGAAAGAGGAGAGGGAGGAGAGAGAGAGAGAGAGAGAGAGAGAGAGAGAGAGAGAGAGAGAGAGAGAGACTCACCCCTCTCGCAGCAACACACGCTTGATAGCATACTGCTGCCTGTTATGTTTTTTGCGAGCTTGAAAGACCACGCCAAAGCCACCTTTGCCAAGAATCTTGACTTCCTCAAAATTCTTTTGAAACCTTCACTCAAGCAACAACAACAAAAAGAACACAAAGGAGTGCGAGCATCAGTGTGTTGAGCCAGGACATAGATAATATTGGTATGGCAGAACCTCTCTTATCCAGCCAGGAGATACGATATAACTGCACTGCGCAGCACTGCAGTGGCACCAACTGGAACTGGTATATCTGTGCCGAATAGAACACTAATAGAGCCATGCCCCAAGGCACTGCACAGTGTTCGCAGTGCTTCCGTCACGCATCGCCGGGCACTACTGTAAAAGCCTGTGTATAGGCCCCGGGCGTATAGAATAGCAGCCTCGATTTCCTGGGCGTATACAAGGGCACGGGCGTTATTTTGGAAGCGGGCGTATACTTGGAATAGGGATAGCAGTGTATTGGGTATCAGCACCTGTACATGTACTGGTGTTGCCGGCATACTAGTACCTGGGTGCTATTTTGAAACAAAAGTGTTGACTTCCCCTGACTGGGCGTGTACACGGAGGGTGGGCGTATTTTCGAGTGGGCGTATACACGGGCTTTTACGGTATTTTACTAAGTGCGGCGAAATTCACTAGCCAGCGATGTACTTCAAAGAACATGTATCCAATCCGAGGACGTGCCATAAGCACCGGGATGAACAACAAATGAATAAAAAAAAGAAAAAAAGATGTCGGAGTACCCGCTAGAACCTGGTCATGACTAATACACAACCAGGCATTATAAAGCAAGCAGTCCAGAAGTTCTTATGTTGCTTGCTCTCCATGCAACCAATACCATGATACAGCACAGCACTGGGTATTCAGAAGAGCTGAGTGCAATGCACAAACAAAGAAAAAACACTTTTCTATCAACCCCACCGGGAACAGATGCAGGTACCTCTGGTTTACCAGTCCCTGGGCCTAACAACACTTTCCATCAGGTCACGTCAATAAAACTGCTCACAAAGCTGATTCTACAAGAGCACACATCGTACACATACTGGGATTGGAAGGTCTCAGGTGGACGGTCAGTTGCCGCTGAAGCGTTCTACGGTTGAAGGTACCAAACATAGGAAGCATAACATAGTGTTGTTAGACAGGTGCAGCACCATAGCACAAGGGAGCACAACCATGAAGGCACTCTGTTATGAACAGTTGAACAATGGTAATAGAGCGGTTCCGCATAACGTAACTACGTTAGTAAAAAACGTAGTCGATCTACGGAAAGTCTTACGGAAACTGCATGCGCATCTGGGTTCCGCCATACGGAGTTTTCAAATCACGTAGCTGCCCTTGGCAACTCCGAACGCGGCAGTGTACGACCAGATTGACCTGGGCAGAGAGTCATAAATTTGTACCCCAATCCACTTACGATTCGTCCGTGGTCTGGTTGTCTTGGTCTTGGTCATGTGTTCTGTACGTATTAGTCCCTGATTGGTCGTCACGATTTGTCGTCGCAATATTACTGCTTGTTCTTGGTTGTTTCTTCGAGTCTTTTCCCGGGAGTCTTTCCCGTTGTCTTTTTGTCGAGTCTTGTTTTCGTCTTTCTCCTCCTGTGCCCTCGCCGTTTATTATTGACAAGGGAATACTAGTATTGAAGCTAACTGAACCGGGGCCAGGGGGAGAAGGCAATACCATTTCCACTTCATATCTGCCCCATTTCTACTTTATGACTTGCTCAATACACCAGTCTTCCTAAACAACACATTTATAGCAGGGGTTAAGTACCATACAAGAGAGCTACATTGTACATCTAGTCATACTGTCATAAACAGGCAGCATTTTTCCTGCAGCAGTCACACCATCATCATCATTATTGCCAGGGAAATCCTCTTACATTGTCAGCTCCTACATCGTTAGATACAATGTAGGGGGCTGTAGGACCGGCTCGTCAAAAATATAGAACCTGAACAAGCGTGCTCGGGACGTCTCAGCAATCGTAGTATGCCTGAGCACTCCAATAAAAACTTGATCAATGGCAAAATCGTTCCCCACAGAAAAATCATACTTTGCGGGTCTTGCGTTGCACGCTTGGAGGTGAAGTACAGAAGGCGAGTCGATCCGAGTATAACCTTTCGGACTGGACTGGACTGAACTATTCCAAAAATAACAACGAGGGGTTACGGGTGCGAGTCAACCCCTGTGACACGGATTTCTGTGCCGTGTCACCTCCCTAGTTTGAGTACGACTCCCTGCTGTAGACACACAGTACATCTAAATTCAGTCACTCGTCAAGTTTACTGTACATACCTTCGCACTCTCGTGATCCACCAGTAACTGCACACATCCCTTTTGATTGTATTCCCTGGCTATGTCCAACGCTGTTCTGGCGCCCTGAGTAACTCAGCAACACATCACAGGAACAACAGAAAATCAATTTTGAGAAAATTCGTTCCAATTTTACAAAAACGAAAACACAACGAAGCGAAGGCCAAGGACATAATCTACAGCGAGACGAAATCAATATCTCCACAAGACGACTTACATGTACTGAACAAGTCTCGCCTTCCTCAGCAACATTGCTATTCCAGGCATCCACAGTAAAAACTCCAGTTCATGCTTCGACAAATTTCATTTTTTTTTTACAGATTTCTACTCGAACGAAAATATCCACGACGAGAGGAAGGCGTCACAGCGCCTGCTCCACGTCAGGAACAACAGCATGTCTTTTGCATACTCTTTACAACAACAACAACAACCCTTCACTCCTCACTCGTTCAACAAACTCCAAACAGTCTACTCCTTCACACACTGATTTCAAAATTCTTCAAAAAAAATTGAACCACGGAGTGAATAATATTATTATGACCACGTGGCGATAATGTACGCATGATGTCATCGAGTACGGTATTGTACAACTGGTACACATTTTCTGACAAGAGGATAGGAGAGGAGAGGAGAGTTGTGGTAGTCGTGAGAGAGAGAGAGCGAGGTGCAGAGGGAGAAAGAGAGGCAGGATAGGTGAGAAGGATGAGTAGAAACTGTTCACAGTCCTGGAGCTGTCCTAGATAGGACATCACGGAACCAGCATACATCTATGCTGTTCCCATAGTAATCGTAGGGAGTTCAGACACGTGACAAATTTTTTTTCAGGACTAGAAGTTTTTTTCCGAGGAGAAAGAAAAAGGCGCAACCCTGCCCTGCCAGTTATTTGGACTTACGGGGGTCGCCATGGCAAATAATAAACATAAAACTGCACACGTTCGGGCTCTCCGCCTTCTCCGTGAAATTATAATACCGTAAAAGAAAACTAGAGGGGAAAAAAGAAGCAACAATGAGGAATAGGAACTGATTTAGGAACCACTTGCAGTCAGTTACACAGGGCAGCGGGCCTCGGCAACGGCCAAGGTAGCAGATGCATCCGCCACATCGCTGACGCGCATGGGGCGTCGCCGAGCACCACGCAAACAAACCATGCTGGAGCGAACCAGAGCAAAGCCAAGTCGGCAGCGAATCCACGCCATTACTCGGTTGTACGGCTCCTTCGTCTTGTCGGACAGGAGCCCGGCAATCCGCTTATAGCAGGCTGTTGCCGACTTGCCCATGCCGCCTGTTGAGGGAGAACGAGAGGTGAAAAAGTTGCATGTTCGATCTCTCGAACACGCTCCTCATAGCAGCGGCGTTTCTCCCGTTCGTGGCGCTGGTAGCAGGAGGGTACTGAGGTGGAGCGATTTGAAGCCGCGAAAGGGTTAAAAACCCGTACGTCGAAGAAAGTGCGGTCAAAACGCCCACCCTAGACACCACTCGCTGCTATATCCAGCCTAGCCTGGGGGTCCGTTATGGCAGAGCGGTAGCGGAATGCTTCCCCAGTTACCGGCTGCAGGTGTGGTTCAGTGGTGACGTTGTTGGCGACCCGTTTGAGGAGACCAGCCGTAACATCTCGTACCTCGTTGTGCCTCAGTGAGGGAAACCCACCCAGAGAGCACGACAAGGCGTGGGCGACGGTGAACGATGCACCACACGGGCAGATCGATGGAAGGTGGGCTGGCGGCCAGCCATAGCGGAGCGCAAGGCCATCCCGGAACTCACCCTTCGAGAGGGCAAAGCCATGGGCCTTCAGGGGTCTACAGGTCAGCCAAGCCGACGCACCCTTCTCCGCAGCCAGACCGACACAGAGCTGGATATCAGTGTTCTGCGTCAGGATGAACTCTTTGGCTGCTTGGGCCGTTGAAGTGCGGGTACGACTTGCCACCTCCCTCTTAGTGGACCGTACCAGGTCCAGCACATGGCCAATCTGGGTGTCCTGGTCCAGAATCTTGCGGACGAGCGCCGAGGTTATCGCTGCCGATGCCCGGAACTGGTCGCCCAAGGTGGTGGGGTCGACTAAGCCGAGGCCTCCTTCACGGCATGGGAAAGCAAGGACCCTTCGCTCACGTGAGTTTACTGGCTTACCGCACAGGGCAGGAATAAGGACATTGGTGATGGTGTCTTCCAGAGGGCCAAGATTTTCAGCAGCACACTCCATGACTCTGCACAGGAAGGACCAGCGATGCTTCAGGCCTTGCGTGAATGCTGCATAGGCAGCCTGTGGCTGGGTTTCGGCAATCTTGGCCAAGGACACGATCTCGTCTTTCCCCTCGTTTGCCTTCTGGGAAACATAGCTCTGGACGAACTCCGTCGATCCGAGTGCAGCACCTAGAAACCGGTGGCCGTCGGTGGTAATGTGCACACCGGTCCCTGCAAAGGCGTCCTCAGCTTCCGTCAGGTGACCGGCCTTGACAACCAGGACTGATTTCTCAGCATTTGCTGCGTACCCATATGCCGGTCCTTTCTGTCGCAGAATATCCCACCAAGCGCGTAGTCGTTGGACTCTGCCGCCCGCGGAGGAGTCGTCTGCAAACCACATCTGGATCGTTCCCTCAGCCGAGAGAGCACGAATGAGGGGCAGAATGCCCAGTGCATACATCGGCATCGCGATGGGATCGCCTTGGGTGGTGCCCTCTGCCGACATGATGACGCTGCCCCCAACAAACAGCTTTGCGGGTTGTCGGTAGCTGTTAATAACGACTGTCGCCAGGGATGGGCATAGGTGACGCATGTTGCGCAGGCATGCTTCCCTGTTCAGCGTGTTAAACGCATTCGTGGCATCTGCCATTAAGACCGCTTCAGTATCCTCGTGGTCGAACGCTTGCTGCATGGCATGCATCGCCGCCTCGATCCCGCAGTCCTGGCCTGCACAGAGTTGAAGGGTGCCAGCTGCCTCTTGAATATCCTGACCAATTACGTACAGGATGGCCTTGCCCACCACTCTCCGCATCACCTCGCCAATCCCAATGGGTCTAACTTCTTGTTGAGGGGGATGAGTCGGGATGCCAGGTACTGTAAATCATATTATTCCCGTAGCTATGCAGAAGACGTTACTTCAGTAACGTCTGGCGCTAGCCAGGGTCCACACAGCTTTAATTTGGTATTTGTTTGTTTGTGTGTTTGTTTGTTTGTGTCACGCCTGGCGCTATCCGTATCTAACGGCAAAAAAGCATAGGATGTTATAAATTTTTCAATTCTCCTTTTTTTCAGGCATATCCTGGGATTCGAACCCGCACTTTCGCCCTACATGCATTCCCCCATGCACTTCGCATTCATACCCATTCTTCCAAGTTGCTTCACGTTATTATCATGCGTTTGAAAGCCCTATTTGAATATTGCGGGCAGCTGTATGTGGCCAGCTGTGTTTGATGGTACGGTACGGGAGACGGTGTCGTATTACCCTCGATCGTACCTGTCCCGTACCTATCCCCTACCGTACCGTGCCATCAAAGACGGCTGGCCACAATGCATATTCAAATAGGGCTTTCAAATGCAAGATCACAATGTGAAACAACTTGGAAGAATTAGTATGTATGCGAAGTGTATCGGGGGATGCATGCAGGGCGCGCGATAGTGCGGGTTCGAATCCCAGGTTATGTCTTAAAAAAAGGATTTTTTAAAGAATTTATAACATCCCTATGCTTTTTTTTTGTCTAGGTCATCAAGGCAAAAAAGCATAGCGTAGGGCCCTGAGCTTCCAAGCTCTCTCGTTTTAACGACCCGCAAAGTTAACGATTTTCTGATTTTCGAAGGTTAACGGTTTGAAAAGTTAACGATTTTCTCAGACAGATGCAATAATACTAGGATTGCTCGACAAGGACATTCATTGTTGTCCATCACAGTATTACTCGATGTCAGGAGAATAAAGAAAATGAAATTTATCCAGCGTAAGAGCGTAAAAATTTCAAATTTGTTGATCTCCTGCCGCTTCGTCAAAATTCATCTGAGAGACTTCGGAGTTGTTCGAGCCGACTGCTGAGCGTCTCTGCTATCATCTAGATCTTTCGATTGTTGAATTCTGTTGAGAATTGACCGAGTTACGATCTGTTGAACACGCGCTGCATGCCATAAATGTGAAATGATCGATTTCAATCGTGCGAGGCCCAAATCATACGACTTTTGCTAACGAATTTTAAAATAACGACAAATCTTTGCTCGTTAACTCGTTAGATTTACTTGTTCGTTACATATTCATGATTTACAGTACGCTTCCAGCGATCGGGGGTCGACAAATTCGGTCGCCACACGTCGAGCAGAGCTTGCCAGCGCATCGCATAGCGAGTCAGACGCATCGGAGAACATTGTGCACATCCACCTCCATGCCTCAGCGTCTACACCTGACGGGCCGGCTGCGCCATGCGTGTTGAGTACCGCCTTTCTCACCAAGTCACGATTGAGACCAGAGAACCTGACCGGGTGAGGCTGAGGAGGGGGAACACCTTGTATCAGGGCCTCCGTGGCTAGGGGCGCAGGGTCAGGGTGTTTGTCTTGCAGGACCTCTTGCACTGACTTGTCACCGATGCTGTCACCCAGCGCCAGGGCTCCAGCATTTCCGTTGGGGACTAGCGATCGTAGGGCGTTGGATAGCTTCCCACTTGTCACCAGGTTTGCAAAGTGGCGTGCATCATCCTTCTCCTTGTTACCCCCGCGGTGGGGCCGGCTAGGTGCTGTGAGCTCCTCTTGAATCGTTCGGCATTCGTGCAGCAGGTCGTGTAGGTCCCCTCTGTGCCATGCTGCTAGGCGGCGCTGCAGGATATCTGCGGATTTCTTTGCAGGACCTGGCGGCTTCTGCAGCATCAGCATTTGGAAGACCATGGCTACTTTCAGAGCTATGCCTTCATATGGCCCACTGGTTCCAAAGCACACAATGTAATTGGCGAGGTGGGATACAAAGAGCTTGCCAGTGGCTCCTCGGGGTACCTGCATTGCATTCGGTCTACAGTGTACCACTTCTTCGTACACGTCTTGCACAGCCTGCACAGAATCCAAGTTGGTACGCTCGCCCAGAAGGAATCCTGTAGTGGGGG